TTCTTGGTTTTCCCTCCAATGTCTTTCGACTGCTCCGCCTCAACTCTTGTGATTTAAAGAGTTTCCTCATGGACAGTAAAGTAACTGCTAACAAATGTAGTTGCTGTTAGCTTTATTAGCTTAGCCGTACTGCCCTGGACGCCAGAGCGTAGATATAGACACATAGATATCTCATTGGCTGCTGCTGTATGCTGCCATCTGCATTGAAGAGGTCCAAAGAGATTCAGACTTCACTGCAAAATCCACTGTAACTCTTTTAATCTGAACCCATTTTCATGAAGTCTGGTTTGTTATAAACGTGAGAAATTGTACTGATACTGGATACTTGTAGGAATTAATTCAGTTACTGGTCTTTCATTCTGGTTAGCAACCAGTATCACCTTCCCACCTTTATAACAAACCAAATTTGATTAAAATCAGGAGTGTTGATGTTCATACTGGTACCGCAGGAGCTTTGGACCACTGAGAGGAGGAAGCTTTCAGGCCTGGGCGGCACTGGTGTCGTGCCACAACCAGAGCTTGACCGGGTTTAGCAGCTTGACACTTTTTCGTTGGAAGAACCTTTGCTACTGAACATTGTCTTGACATCAACTGTGTTCTTAAAAACTGAATCATCAAGACAAATCAGAAGTAAATATCACTATATATGATTTCCAGGAGACATGTCCACACTTTCAGTTTAAAACTCATTCTGGTCGTCACAAAGATAGAAGTACAAGACATTGTTCACACACAGCTCCCCCGGTGTGATATGGATTTCCTCTGCAGCCGTCAGACGCAAACATGAGTCTGACAGAGGTGAATGTGTGTGATGTGAGCTAATCTTTCCGTTCAACACACAGCTCTGCCTTCATCCATGGACACGCAGGATGGAAGAAGAACATAAAACAGCTTCTCTAAATTCTCTCTCTAAATGAAGCAGAACGAGACAACAGAAGAAATGTTATTTGATGCTCTTTGAGTTCTTGCAGAGTTCTGGACCTGGATAGTGAGGGTGGGTTCGTAAAGTGAAGATATTTTGGAACATTTTCACTTCTTCAAAAGGCTGTTTGAGAGCCTGGAGTTGATTGTATCAGGCGGCAGCGCACACAGAATGATTTTAATAAACAAAAAGAAGCAGTCAGAGAGAGAAATACCCCAAAGTCTGTTTACGTCTAAACTGTAGTTAAGCTTTGGGCTCTGAGGAAAGAGTGTGAGACTGAGAGTCATCCACAAGCTCATGATTCACTGCTGTAATATCATTCAGTGCTTCCCTTCAGATCTAAAATCCTAGCCTCCACAGACACGATTGAAGTGTAAATAATCACAGAGATGGGCCGTTTTCTTGTCTACATGTTGGTTTAACTCAAGTCTTTGTTCATGAAGATCACACAAGCTGTGTATTTGCACAGTAATTCAGTTCCCAACAACATATTCAAAGAAGTTTTATTTACTGACATAAAGTCAGAAATTTAAACATGCTGTTTCTCCCCACTGACTCTCTGATGCTCGGCCTCAAACCAGAATTAATGATTGTTGGAACAGTGGAAGGACTAACCACGGCTTTGGTGCATTTTATTTTATTTCTGCCGGTTTGAATGAAGTGTTTGGATGTTGCTACTTAAAATTGTCTGAATCCATGTGGATTCAGACAACTCCTGGCTGTGTGGGGTAAGTAAAGCTGGTTATTTTCAGGGATAGAGGATGAAGGTTTGTCAATGAAGGCCTCCAACAGCAGAAGAGAGTGTGTGTGTGTGTGTGTGTGTATTAGTAAAGACTTTGATGCCTGAGTGGATTAAAGAAAGGTTAGAAGGTAGAACATTAACGCCTGTCTTCTCTTTCTGTCTGTCAGTGTAATTTCCCACATCCACATGTTTCAGGCTCTTGGCGGTGAAAATGCAGCTCAGCTTAAGTTTAATCACCAGCACACGAGAAACATGTATGTTTCCTGCAGATAGGCAGGAGTGTAAAAGACTCAGGGCAGCTTTATACATTTTCCACCTGCAGTTGCTCATTGGTTCCTTACATTGTCAGGATTTGAACAGTATCTCAATATTCTGACTTCAGACGAGCTACAGAAGTTGACCTTTGGTTTACCTAAACATGATTAAGAATTTGGGTAATTTATGTTAAATAGGTGACAAGAATGTGAGATTCCTACGGGTTGAGCTATTATTCTCTTAATTTTACCCTAACAAACCCTAACCCCCAAATTCCACCCAACAATTAAATCATCCAAAAACAAATACCTTTTGAAATAAAAACTAATTTATCTCATACTAAATACCCTTTGGGCGATTTCCCAGCATTATACTAACTACTTACAATGACTATAGATATGTATTTGCTGCCCTGGTTGGTTGAAGATGATGAACTTAATTTCAGGGCAAGATTATTACTAAACTAACCTATAACATGGTAATGGTCTCTGCTCAGATCCCTCATAGATCCACACAGGCTCATTAAGTCAACTCTTATCTTCTGTCACAAGGTCAAAACACTTCAAAAAACTGCCTCGAATCAAATCCCCCTCTCCCATATCTCGGTCCCCCTTCTCTTCCTCTCTCCATTAGGTTCTTATCTTACATTTAAGAAATCCTTTGTACTTCTCAACTGTTTCCTATTTTTTCTCAACACTCTAATAATCCACTTTCTTTTTTTCTTGCTCTGAAAAACGCCTCTTTTTCCTTTTCTCCCGAAAAATATGGGACAGTCCTGAATTAGCAGCAGATCCTGTCCTGTTTGTCCCGAAAATGAACCGATAATGTAACAGATAATGTCAACGAGCTAAAACGAGAGCTGTGACACACTAATACTGCAAACTACTGGATGGAACATATTGTGTATTTTGGAGCTCTGTCAAATGATCATGAATAATTATTAACAGAGATATGCACAACAAACAGCTGCTGTCACCAGAATAAAAAAAACCTCTAAATTGAAATGAGAAAACTTAGTTCAATAGCTCAGTTAGTTTATATGAATCCGTAAATTAAAACTTGTTTTTAGTCTCTGAATCTACGAAAATATTCCAATCATGTCACTGTGGGCTGTCATCCTCCTTTCAGCCTCAAAACTATCTTTTTTATTTTTGTAAAATATGTAAGCTTATTATCTATTGTACATATTATGCTATCATAAATAACAGATTGTTAATTAATTCCACCTGTGTGGATGACAGAGAGGAGGAATTTGTGATAAAAATATCTTTAAAATATTTTTGGGTGTTTCTACAGTAGCTCAGAACGGACAAACCAAACACTGGATCTTGATAGAGGGTTTGAGATTTTTGTGAATGTGTTATAAATGCTACACACTGGACATTTAAGACTAATTATGTCATTTTCATTTTAAAAGTTAATTCTTTAGTGTTCAGCCCAAAAGTTTTCACAATCGCTGTGGAAAAGAGAATTTACTGACTCTGAAACTTTCCACTAAATGTCAGAAAATTGATGGTTTGATAGTTTTTAATAAATTATGTATAAGGGAACCACACTTCCAAACAGCAAATATTTTGTTCTCTTCCAGAAAAAACCCTGTTAACTACATTTTGATTTTAATTTGACTCTCACACAAAGGTTAATTTAGTAGCTGCTCTGGCACTTTCTCTCGTATCACATGATCATCATCAGCAGATAGAATTTGCCCAGTTGTCATGAGGAAAAAAGATTATTATGACGATTGCTTGTCCAGCTTAAAAGACTTCATTCTTGACCTTTAAAAACAGCAGTTTAATATAACAATTTCACCTCAAGGTCCATTTAGTAGCTGCTCTAGAGCCTTTGATGATATCATATGATCTTCATCAGCAGATGGACTCGTCCCAAGAAGACTAGAAGAAAAAAATGGAAATTTGAGCTTCTACATTTACATAACAACTGAGTAGACATCGTCTGATGAGATTATGCGGTGTGATCAAAAGCATTAGAACCGCTAAATGGACCTTGAAGTGAGGGTGTTATGTCAACTGTTGTTTCCTAGCTCTACATTTTGACTGTTTTCAAAGTGAAATATCACAACTCATATTTAGATTCATAGCAAATAAAACTGTCATATTAATATTAGGAAAATTACACAACATAAAGTTATTAATCGACAATATAGAGGCTGTGGGTTTGTTGAAGTTTGTTGGAAGTTACATATATTTAGTAAACTTCAGTGAAACTTGTGACTGAGGCACAAACTCTGCTGTGGTTAATGTTTCAGGTCTCTGCAGCTCAGTGATAAAGAGAAAACTAATTCAGGAGCATAGTAAAGTATAACAGCGTTAAATGCTTTGAAAATCAGTGGAACACTTCATGTAACAAGGATGTAATATGAAGAATACTGTCTCCATCTTGTGGCTGTAAGATGATACTTCATTCTATTGTTGGTTGTACAACCCTTCATCTGCGGAGGGAAACAACTCCAGCTTGTGGAGATTCTGTTTTACTAGGTGGTGTTACACTTAATTTCTAAATGGAGTCTTACTAATAATAATAATTGATCTTTCTGTGTCTATATTTACATTGTATTATTGTATTACACTGCAGGCAGCCCACACTGCAATCTGTGTGTGTTCTTGTATTTCTTCTTTGAGAGGAACATTCTGAGTTTTACACCTTAGAAGTGAGGACATTCTTGAAGAGTAAAGACATTTTGTCCAGTTTTCAGGATTAATACTTAGTTTAATGGTTAGGGTCAGAATTTGGTTCAGGCCAGGTTTGGAGGTAGGGAATACAATTTGTTAATGAATGCCCTCACAGGTAGAGAACTGTTAAGGATTATGGCAGTAAAAGAAACGTGTGTACATAAAAGAAAGTTATAAGATTGTTGATGCTTTAGGTGGACATATACTTGCTGTTTAACCATGGGTTCATGTAAAAAGGTTAATTCCTGAGGATGTGCACAACTAACAGTCCCAATGGATGCAGGATGTACGAATGTGTAGTTGAAGGCAAGTATAAACTGCTCAAATCTATATTATAATGTATAATCTCTGACAAGTAGTTAACAAAATGGAATATAAATACACACAAAAGTTGTAAAATCGTCAAAAAATCACTTTATTGGACTTGCTGCAATGCATTGTGACTTATACTTTAAAGGAGACACTGATATTTTACCAGCATAGATGCAACCAATGGATTTTTTTTGACATTTTGATTTTGAAGGCAAAAACGTTGCCTTTTTTTAACATTAAATATTTCATAGACTTTGTTACACTTGAGGAAGACGTTTCATTCCCTCTTTCAGACCAAACTAAATGTTAATTTAGACATTCAAACTGTAAAATACAGTCGGTTTATTTGTCTTATCTTGAGATAGCGACTGTGACAACATGTCAGCTGCACCAGTTTGGACAAATGAAAGATTTTAACTTTTACAAAAAGAGCTAAAGCACTGTATGATTTCTGCTACGAAGACACGCACTATCTCAAATAACACCACACACACACCTTCTGCACATCTTAAACTTTAGCTAGCATTCTTTCCGTTCCTCTTCTTCTTTTTCTTTGGTGTTTGCTTCTTAGAGGAGTCGGCATTGGAGGAGGCAGCCTGGACCTCCTCGTCTTCCACTGGGAGCACTGGTTTGACCTCAACCAAGACCTCTGCCTCTGTTGCTTCTGGTTTTGGGTCTGTTGGTGGCTTGATCTTGACTTTCTCCGGCTCTGATGTTGGTACTGGTTCAGAAGGTTGCTGTTGGATCTCCTCATCTGGTTTAGCTGGTTGCACCTCTTTATCCTCAACCTGCGGTTTTGCGTCTGCTGGTATCATTTCAGAAGTGTTCTCCACGGGTGTTGGAGCTTCTGGTGGCGACACTGCTGGCTTTGGAACCTCCTCAACTTTATCTGGCTGTGGGAGAACCGATTTTGCTGCCTCTGATTTAACTTTTTCCACCTGCTCAGGGGCTGAAACCGCCTCCTCTTTGACCTGAGTTTTGGTTTTGAAGTGGTCAAACGCAGAAGCCACCATGTCTTCTTTAGGGTCCACTTCATCATTGACCTCTTCCTCATTGTCGCTGGGTGTGGCAAACAGGGAGGAAGCAAACTCTTGCAGCTTAGCCTGCTGCTCCTTAAGACGGTTCATGTCCTCCGTTAAGACAGGGTCCTCCTCCAGGATCTCCTGCAGCTCCTCAGGGTTCAGCAGGGGAGATTTATCAGCATCCTCAGTGTCAGGGATGTCAACAAGGACCTTTGATGGAAGGTTCAAGTTAGCCTGGCGGACATCCTTGATCTTGTTGTAGAGGACTACTCTCTCCTCCTGCAGGGCACGACACAACCTCTCCAGCTTCTGAATCTTCAGGACGAACAGCTCGTACTCTTTGTTTTTCTCAGTCCTCTGAAAGAGAAGGAGGAGCAATAGAGCAAATGAGACACAAAGAAAGTGAGATATTATGTGAAAAAAACTAGAAACATAAATTAGATGTTTGGTATTTGGCTTTCAGATACAGTAATGGAATTTTCTAATCCTCTCCAAAAATAGCAAACAGGAAGTACTTTCAAAAAGTATACCCTCCATTTAAAAACATCTGGTAGTTTTCCTCAAATAATTGAAATTATGAATCACTTTGCTGATTTGAGTTATTCTGTTTGGTTCAGTTCAAAGATTTGTCATCACTGTGTTTGTCTTCGTCTTCCTTCCCAAATTCAAGAGCTCAGCTGACTAAAAGGTAAACTCAAAACTCATCTTTTCAGATCAGCTTCAACCTCACTTAACCTTACCAATTTATACTCAATCTACAGTATGTGTTACGTATATGTATTGTATTTGCTTTGCATATCTGTGTTGTCTCACTCATGCACGTTTTATATACTTTGATAATGCTGCCCATTGACTGTTCTTATTATATTTGCTGAATTTTCCATGTAATAGTTTGCATGTTTATCTCTGTACAATTCTGTGTTTTTGCAAATGTTAATCATTGTTGTTTTTATTACAGCCTTTTGAGACATGCTTTGTGATATATTTGTGATATAATAAACATGACTACTCATTTGTTCATTTTTCTTTTATATTTTCCTTCTTTCTAAACTCAGTGTTTATGACGTACATCGTAACGTCAGTACATTCAGTCTGTTGCTGGTTCAAACTGTTAAGTTCAGTACAAAGCTGTATACAAGCGGGTTAATAGCTCAGCAGCTGACTATCTGCGACAGAATGATCAGATTATGATTGTGGGCTGGGTTCCTACCAATCTATCACCCAACAAAAAGGAATAACAGGATTTCAGAAGTACAACCAAAAGCATTAACATCATCAACATACCTCTTCAATCATGTCATTCAGAGCCTTGTTGCAGTTCTCAAACCTTGTCTTCCACAGATTTGATTCTTTATCCATTTTCTTCATCTTGTCTGACATCTAAAAGGGTAAAGAGTGTAAAACTACAGGGCTGCACTTTCAAAAAATCATTAAAACAGTTCCTAAACAATGAACTGTAAACACAAACTGGTCCCACTGACAACCAACAAGGTTTCGTGCAGTGGTCACCACCTACATTGTCCATCTCCTTTTTAAAGCGGACGTAGATTTCGTTGCTTTTGGCCAGTGTTGCCTGAAACTCGTCAAACTTCTGAGCATAGAGGGTCAGCTGTGGACGGACAGAAAGATAAGAGTGTCAGACTGAAGCACAGTGAGCATAATAATAAAATCAGGTTGGTTTCTGGCAACGCATCAACACTCCACATGGATTTCTACATACTCACTGGAAACATCTGCTTAATCAGTCCTGTTAAACCCGAACAAACCCTTTTTGTACTGCTATTTACCTGCTTAACATCTCCTTGTAAGTAAAACTTTAGTATCGTGAAAAAACATGATACTTTGAGTTGATCAAATCAACCTTTTAAAGGAAGAATATGGGACTATAGGAACATATGAATGGGTTTATTTTACAGCCCTACTATATGTTTAGTACACAAAAAGTGATAATTCAGTACCGGAAAAGAACATAATATATAAAGTTCAATAAATCAAAACGTCTAAGAGCATGAAACTTTTCTATGATCGATTCCTGAAAACACAACAAGTGTTTATGACACGTCATCAACAGGATACTTTTGGACTGGCAGTATACAGTATATAAAGGTAATTCACCTTTATATACTGAATTCACCAGAATTTCATGTATTGGAAGAACAATGAACTACTACTACTGTGGTATTTCCTAGTTGTACCTAAGTACTTACATTACGAAACATTATGGTTTCATTTACTGACTAGGTAATAACTTAATTACTATCCTTTTCTCATGAGTGCTTTACTAATACTAGATTGTTTTACCGTCTACTTTCCTGTTAGGTCCCTATGTACGTACTAAGTAACAACTTTGTACTTACTAGTCTTTTTGTACGTTCCAAACAAATATATATATATATATATATATATATATATATTCGGATTCGGATTATTATTAAAATGGATGAAGACATTATGATGTAATTTTATAAAGATAAAACTTTATTGTAATAGTAAAAGTATCAAAGGAATAGTATCAAAATATACTTAAAGTGAAGGATCCCTTGAAAGTATATTTTGATGCTATTCCTTTGAGACTTTTACTTTAAATGCAGAACTTGTGACAGAGCATTTCTACACTGTAGTGGAAACTGCAATTTCCTACATTGACGTTGAACACGAGATGTGTTTGTTTAAATGTGGATTTTTGGATATCATGTTGTAAATGTTGTAGTTTAATGTTTTAGATTTTGTACGGCTGCTACCTCGGCCAGATTCCTTGTGTAAAACAGATAATATAACTAGAATCTAAATGGATAATGTTACTTTTGTGAAATCTGAAATTCAACCATCTCCTCTTATTTACTTGCAATTAAATGCTTCATTTTGAGGGAAAACCTTGAAAATGTCATTGTTCAAGAAGACAAGACCATTATTCCTGCAGTAAAAGAGAGCCCACTGCAAGCACATAATTGTATGCTTAAATAACCAAAACCTGATTTTTGCTCCAAATCTTGGGAAACCTACAGTTTAATGACAAGGCCTCCAAGTGATGAATTGTTAATTGCACCAGTCATTAATCAGAACCATACACACCACTGGAGGCCTTTAATCATTCATACTTGTACAAGTTTGTATTCTGCATGACAAATGAGGGAGTCCAACCTAATATTCCCCTTAAACTCAGCATACGTCAAAAATGAACTTATTTACAGAAAGAAATAGAGGAAAATTGCTGCTTGATCATTTGTAAACCGATATTCGGCCCTAATGTAAGATTGAATTTGTTTGTATCTACTGGTTCAGCTAACTTTTGATCAGTTAACATTGTTCATCTGGCTGAGAAAGTACATAACGCTATAATCTGTAACATTTCCTCGAACACTAGACCTATGTTCTATATTTTGTTTGTGTTTCACTGGTCACCTGTCGATGGCGTCATATCCCCTTTGTGCCTGCGTCAGCGTTGTGGTTGTCTGCCAGAAGCTGTCATACATTGACTGTTTATCATTATTTTATTTATTCAGTGTGTTTAGTGGTTTTAATCAGCGGGTCTGTTTGTGTTGGAGAGGAGGAGACCTCTGTGGATCATTGGGCTCCCGGTAGAAACCTCCTGAACCATGAACACTGAAGGAATCCTAACCGGGAGAAGCTGACTGCAACAACTCCCATGATCCCACGCTGCTTCACCACCTCAACAAATATTATTGTTGGTTATTGTTTGGATGTGAGAGACCCCCTAGTGGCAGAAAGTACAGATTGTACGTTTAACTGAATACATGAAATGTCTCAAAATGCTCCAGATTCCTTCCAGGCGTTTTGTGGCGTTGTTGCTCAGGAGTCTAACATTCACCTCAACCCTGCTGCTGCCTGTCTGCTTGTTGTCAGCATGTTAGTTTTGTCAGTGAATATTCACCTGAGCCTGCATGACAGTCCCCTGTTCTCTGTATGTCTGAGCCTGCAGTTTCCACTCAGCAGCCTGAACCAGTAACTGGTTAGAAGAGAACAGACAGAGACACATTACAGACATTTCTTTACCTTCTTCTTCATGGCCAGCTCCTGCTCCTTCATAGCGAAGCATTTCTTTGTTTTGTCAATAGCCTCCCTAAGCAACTACGGCGACAGAGACAATACACAGTTAATCTGGGTGGCCTTCATACATTATTGTAACTAATGAGTTATTGATGATAGAATGAGACAAATAGTATCAAACAACAATAAAGATGTGACAAGAAAATCTAATCAATGTTTGCAATCATGGATGTAAATAAACTTTAAAATCAAATCATGGCTCTAATTCTAACAAGATCACAACTTATTAAGTTTAAATCACATTTATAAAATACATTAAAAACTAAATAAAACAACAAATATTAAATTACATTAAATGGCACTAGCAGAAAAAGGAAACGTCAATTAAGTCCAAAAATGTAAATCTAATGCAGAATAAACTGGAACTGAGTTAGCATTTTAGCAAACAAAGTCAATGGGTTTTCTGAATGGTGTTTTGGTTTGATGTTTGAAATAAGGTCTGTGGTTAACACAACCTGAAGAGATTATCACGTTTTGTCCTACAACATAAAATACGTCAGTAAATACCCCACCTGTGTTATTAACACACAGAGACTGATCTACTCACCAGTCGGCCTTTACCGCCTCGTTGTGTTTACACTCCTGCAAACTATTCTTACTCAAACTTGTCATGTCATGTGACCGTGGTTGGTTGTTTCTAGCACTAACATTAGCTTTTTACTTCTGGAGATCACATTTAACATCCAGCTCAGAGCCATCACATGCAGCTATCACTGCCAGACGTCACTTTATCCAAACACAGCGTCTAATTGTTCTCAGTGAACATCTGAACTCACGTATTCTTTCTCTCTCTGGTGTTTCTCCTCGGCTTCGGTCAGCAGAACGTTGGCCTGCTGCAGTTTGGCTTCAGTCAGTTTGTGCTGCAGGTCACGGCGCTTGTTGATATTCTCCAAGCTCTGCAGAGAGAAGAAGAATCTGAACTCTTACGTTCTTCTAAGGATGAATTGTTTCATTGTTTTAGTAAAAATTACTCCTCACAACATCCTTAAACCCAAGTCTAGAGCTGCAATGACTAGTGGATTAATTGATTATTTGTCAACTATTAATCTAAGTTAATTGCTAAATTCAATTAATCTTTTATTTTTAAAACGTCCAAATTCTCTGATTTCAGCTGCTCATATTTTCTGGTTTCGTCAGTCCTCTTTGACAGTAAACTGAATTTCTTTGGGTCGTGGACAAAATGAGACATTTGAGGACGTCAGCTTGGGCTTTCGTTATCATCAGTGGACATTTTTCACATTTTTTTTTGACATTTTATTTACTCAAAACCAAAAACACTTTTTACTCCACTACATTTATTCAGTAACTTAGATTTACTGTAGATTCGGATTATTATTAGAATGGATTACATTATGATGTAATTTTATGGATAAAGATAAAACTTTATTGTAAAAGTAAAAGTATCAAAGGAATAGTATCAAAATATACTTAAAGTGAAGGATCCCTTGAAAGTATATTTGATACTATTCCTTTGATACTTTTACTTTAAATGCAGAACTTGTGACAGAGCATTTCTACACTGTAGTGGAAACTGCAATTTCCTACATTGACATCGAATAATCTGCAGAAAGATCTAAAGTAAGACACTTTTAGGTCCATTGATGAATTTAGGGGCATTATAAAGAATGTGTGGTGGAGATGTGTGTCTTCCGTTATCATCAGTGGACATTTTTCAAATTTTTTTTGACATTTTATTGACTCAAAACCTCATCAATTTATTGAGAACACGGAAGAATTTTTTTTGCAGCCCTAATTAAATAGCTTGTTCTGTCCGACCAACAGTCCAAAGATAAAGTTTATCATAATGAAACACCAACCGATAAACATACACAGTCTATTTATCAATTATCAAAACAGTTGAAAGTTGTTGTTTTTTCTAAAAGCAACCACGTGTGACAGTAAAGACACATAAAGCTCAAAGGTTTCATTAAGTTTTATAATTAGGTCTGCTAGTGCACATTGATAAAGACATCTCAAACATCAACTGTGCATTCAAAGTGTCTTATGTACAGCCCTACCAGTAGCTCTCATTAATGTCTTATTACAATCTATAAACACGTTGACCTTTGACCTCCCCCCCTTTACCTCCTCCCTCAGCTCGCACTGGTTCATGAGGCTCTCCAGTTTGTCGGTCAGGTTGGTGTTTTCGTGGCATAGCTTGTCGTTTCGGGCGCTGTGCTGCTCGATCTGAGCCTGGATTTCTGTCAGCATCATCTGGAAGTGGCTGGTCATCTCCTTCCTCTTCTCCTCATCCTCCTTGCAGCGCTGAAGGGTCTCCTCCTGGAGGTGGGAACAGGACAGAGAGGGACCAATGGATGTAAGGATGGATGGTAAAAGAGGCTCAATAGTGGCTCTGACTTTATCTTCTACTTCAGTTTATAATGTCTTCGAATGTAAAATACCACGTCAGTCATCAGTACTGCTCCCAGTAATTGTACAGACGGCAGTACATCCAGCACCCACATACCCTCAGTACGCTGTAGTGTCTCTGCAGCTCTCGGCACAGAGTCTCAAGTTCACTGCGAGCTGTGAGGCTGCTGAGACTCTCAGCCTGAAGCTGCTGCCGCTCATCCAGCAGGACGGACAACCTCTGCTGCAGGACACACAGCCTCTTCTCATCAGAGCGCCGCAAGGCTGCCTGTACACAAACACATACACACACACACACACACACACACACACACACACACACACACACACACACACACACACACACACACACACAGACAGACAGGTGGAAGGTGAGAACCTGTTGTTGCTGCATTCTGGCTAAAAGTTGGTTCAGACAGAAACACTGTAAACGTCTCAGCAGCTAAAAAACTAAATCTCACCAGTTCAGCATATTTCCTGACCAGATCTTCCAGTTTCTCCTCTGGAGAAGAGAGCTTGTTCAGACTCTGCATGATGAGAGAGACTTCTACACAGACAGACAAAGAAGAAGAGCAGGAAGTTAGTTTTCTTATAGACTGACAAAAGAGCGACTTCAAACAGAAACTGAGTGAATAACTGCTAACTACAGAGACAGAAGTGTTTTCAGCATTTTATAATTGTTTTCATTTCATGATAGCACACAGCAGGGCTGAAGCACTACAAATGTTACTTAAAGGTCCACTGAGGAATATCTATTGTCAGAAATGAGAGATACAGAGATCAGCCCTAACACAGTGAGCACTGACAGTAACACTGATTATCTGGGTATCAGGGCTCCTTTCAGAGTGTGTGTGTGTGTGTGTGTGTGTGTGTGTGTGTGTGTGTGTGTGTGTGTGTGTGTGTGTGTGTGTGTGTGTGCGTGCGGGGGACGCGTAGTTCCAGGACGCGTTTGAAGTCTGAGACTGTGTGACCTCTCAGTATAACACAACACAATAAATGGAAGACTACATCCAGTTGCATTATGGGAAATGTAGGTTCCAGTGTTTTGGGACTTTTTTAACATCAGTCTCTCGTACACGTCCCCCAGCGTTTTAGATGTTTAATGTTTAATGACAGAAATGTCCCTTTCATGGTGGCAGACCAACAGTCATATGAACAATAGCATCCTGCTGATAGCATCCCTCTTACTGCATCCTCACCTGTTTCCATGGCAACTGCAACGTCATCTTTCGCCTCCTTCTTCATCTTGTCCGTCTCTACCTCCACAACAATCTGATACAGAAACAATATGAAACTTTATTCACGAGCACATTCCCGCAGTTAGAATGAGTTTGGTCACCTGACTGACCCACCTGTTTCTCCAGGACGCTGGCCGCGGACCCGTAGCTGCCGATGATGTCCTCCAGCCGTCTGCTGAACTCCTTCATGGGGTCGACGAAGTCGGAGGAGGAGCCGCAGGCTGCGGGCGGAGCTTTCTCCTCGCCTTCGCCTGAGGACGCCACATTGGGCTGGGGGGGCACCAACACCTCAGTTGCTTTCACCGACGTCTCCATCCTCAGAGTTCTGGCAATAATCCAGGGAGAGAATATTAATTTATCCTTCCTCCAATTTATTTATTAAGATTTGAGATTTGATGAGGTTCAAGCTTCAGCAGGTCAGAAGAGAAACGACTTTGAATGTGGTTTGGCTTCTGAAAGGTGTTCATTTGATCTGGTTCCAAGTTGGTTGATTGGTTTTATTTAGTTTCAGTTCAATGTAGTGGTTTGTATTAACATTGTAGTCTTTACCACGAGGAGAGCTCCAACCTTCTAAGAGAGTTTCCCAAAGAGATGAACCCTTTAAATTTAAATTCAGTGACCCTTCCTCTTCCTCTTCTTCTGACATCGGCCTCTCAGCCAATAAAACCGGCTAAATGTTGTTTTGGTTATTTCCAACTTGGACTTTGGAGAAATAATCAATTCCATTCTTCAGCACTGACACAAATTTCACTCAAACACCGACGTGAGTGCCTGTTCAGCTCTGCGTCTCACATGTGGATAATCTTATTTTTGTGTGTGTTTGTGTATATATATATATATATATATATATATATATATATATACTTGTGTGGAAGACAGGCTGTTTGAGGGTTAAAACTTTCTATGTAGGGTTAGAATTGGGTTTAGGCTGGTTAGATGAAGGGGCTGGGGCAGGGGTAGACAACCTGTGTCTCTGGGTTACTGTTAGGATTTAATATTTTTATAGGCCTGAAGGGATTCTTACATTGTAGGTATGTACATATGATACATTCAACTCTTTGCAATACTTTTTTTCAAAACTAGAATTCTTAAAACTAGCATAAAAATCTAACCATAACCAACAGATAGTTGTGCTGCTTCATTTCCAACACTGGGACAGACGACTTTCTCTTAAATTGAGAAGTTGTGTGCGTGCTCTTACTCTGAAAATAAGGACAATAATCTGGTTCCTCTGCTGGGATATTATGCAACCATTGTTGTTACTGGTTAACTCGAGCTCAGTAACACAAGTTTATTTTAATTTAAAATAATTACCCAGACACAAAGCCTTTTTACCTTCTTGCCGCTTTGCGTACATTTCGCAGAGCCTTCTTAGCTACACAAGCTACGGATTCCAAATTCTCTGAGAACTTAAAAATGTTTTTGCTTTCACCACCAACGCTGCTGGCTCACCGGTTTGATCTGCAGAGAAACAGCATTATAACCAATATGCTTTACAGCTGCCAACAGGTTTTTATTTTCTATTTTAGGGTGGCTCTTCAGATAGTTGAGGATGCTGACGATGTAGGGGTCCATTACGTCAATGACGGGACCCCATGAATAGTAACACAAGGGTGTGTGTGTGTGTGTGTGTGTGCGTGTGTGTCTGTGTGTGAGTGTCCAGTGGCCGTTTATCTTCAGCTCTGTTGCAACAAGCCGGCTGCCACCGTTATTGTATCTGTGAGGTTAAAGTTAGCCATGTGAGCCAGCCAGCCCCCACTGCGCCTCACACACACACACACACACACACACACACACACACACACACACACTCCGGACCACCACACCTGTTATAGTCTCATCTATTCTGAGAGCGTCCAAATATGGTCAAACTGCCACACACACATACTGTATACACACACATACCATACGAAACGTGGGAATCTGTGTGGGTTTGTTTAACTCGTCTGTTTACCTGCTTCATGTCATACACCCCCCGACCCCCCACCCTCCTGCTGTAATGACCCCTTGAAGAAAAATGGAAGCTCCACCCATTTAAGTTACGCAACCAATCGCAGCCCCTCCCCCTCAATTTCAACCACATCAAAATAAATAACTTGTCATCACATCTCTATCTCATAAATACTCAGAAACTCACAAACCATATCCAACAGGAGGTGGACAGAATAACAGAAACGCCACATGAAAAGAACGCAGAATTAACTAAATAACAAAGTGAGTCATATTAGGCTGAAAGCTAAGTTAAGATAGAAGACTGATGTGTTTGAAAAGGGCTGACAGTAGACTGACAATATTTATGTTGTTTTCAAGTAAAACTTATTGTCTTTATGTCTGAAATGAAAACTACAGGGTCTAAGAAAAGCAACCTTGTTTTAAGATTCTAAGATTCCTGCTTCTTCACTGTAAAATCCATTCTCAGTGAATGTGCACTTGTGGATCGCACTGTATAAAGTGCATATTGGACCAGGAGGGACTTTCAAACAAAAAGCTGTGATCATGCTCGTAGGCCCGGCCACTTAAAATCGGATTTTCAAGAAAATCAAAAACTGTTACCATCTTCTAACCCTACTAACAGCACAAAAGGCCACAAAATCTTTAAGCTGCAAAGTCTAAAGTGTAATTAATATAAACTCAACACTTAATATATATATATATAGCCTTTAAATTCAAGTAATATCCTTCTGCTAATGTGACTGAAAGCTTTGAAATGCTGAAGTGAGGGCAGATTGTTTCACAGTGACTTCACTGAATATTTACAGACAGTGGCAGTGACAAAGCAACTTATCGTATCATGGCAGCCATGTGTTTTTCCATGTCAGTACATGATAGTAAACCACATGAGTCAATCAGCACATATCCCTAAACCAGGCAGCAGGACATTTAATGCCTATAAGGAACCAAAACTTATTTTCCCAAACAAATACACTGAAGGAAGAAGCAAACGATGAAACTTCTAGGGTTGAAGTTTGGCTACAGCGCAACGTGAAGGCAAACCTGAACGGACACTTTACTGAAACAACAGATTTCTGAAAGGGAAGAGAATGAAAAAAAGTCTTACCAGGATCAGTGGAGTGAAGGAGAGGAGGTGAAGAAGAGACAGAGAGAGGCAGAGGAAGGAGAGGAGGAGGAGGAGGAGGAGGAGGAGGGGCCTGCTGACAGGCTGAACAACAGCTGACCCCCAAAATAACCTGAGAGGCTCAGCTCACATGAGTCTGTGTTTGTGCTAATACAGGAGTGTGTTCTGACAGCGGCCAGGAGGAGAGCTTCCTGTCTGAGTTTGGAAATGTTTTTTTTAATTTTGGTCCACATGAGTATCCTTCCTTCTCTAACTCCTGGTGAGTTTAGGTACGCAGCCCTAAAAAATGTTTTTTTCCACCGGCATTCTGCAGTGACTCCGCCCTACTCTGCCTTTGATTGGCTCATGGTCGTTGCCTTTGTTGGATTTGGTGGTTAGGTTTAGGTATGAGGAGTGAGATGGTTAGTAGGAAATGTTAGAACCAATCAGAGGCAGAGTAGGGGTGGTTCTTTGTGGAATAACACCTACATAACTGCGTCTTCAGTAACACAAAGCTAGCTTACTACTGAGAAAACAGTGCTGAAAATGTCCTGGATGGATTCAAACGCCAACAGAATAAGGGTTGGGGTTGGGTTGAATTAGGGTACAGGCACCATTTTATAACACTAAAGGTAACTATACAACATGTTGCAAATCAACTGCACTGAGGCAAATAAAATCAGATAATTATATTATAGTTGTGACGTGCCAGTCAACAAGTGTGTGAAATCTGGAATTCACTCTTAAATCATGGTTAAAAACCTATTTTGAGGTCCCAATGACCTTTGAGTCAAGAATGTCACCAATTCATTGTCTAACAAAAGTTTAAGTATGGTCATCAATTCTTAAGTTATGGCCAAAAATGTGTTTTGTCACATTGACCTTGAACTTTGACCTTTGTGTACCAAATTACCGAGTCCGAGTTGACGTTTTTGAGAGGCGTTCCTGACATATCCCTATCACAAGAATGGGACGGACAGACATAATTCTCCTGTAACAAAAGCACCTTGTGAAATATTATACATTTTGTAAAATGTTAATAAAAAAGTGAATTGAAACAATTCACTGCTGACTTTTGAATAATGCTGTAGTCACTACGAGTGCATAGTATTGCAAGCTTGCTATGTTGGTGGAAAACAGTTGAAATTGTGAGTGAACCTTTTATTGATACATTAAGTATCATAATTTTTGCGACTTGCCAGGTATGTTAATTAATAACATTTCATTATTATATATAGAAGACGTAATGCTTGTAAAGTATAAACTCAAGTTCTCACAATTCAATTCAATTCAATTCAATTTTATTTGTATAGCGCCAATTCATAACAGAAGTTATATCAGGACACTTTTCAAATAGAGCAGGTCTAGACCGAACTCCTTATAACATTAATTACAGAGACCCAACAGTAACACCATGAGCAAGACCTTGGAGACAAGGGCAAGGAAAAACTGCCTGTTAAAAGGCAGAAACCTAGGACAGATCCTCCGGCTCTAGGTGGGTGGTCGTCTGTCTCGACCAGTTGGGGTCAGAGAGAGAGAGAGAGAGAGAGAGAGAGAGAGAGAGAGAGAGACAGAGAGACAGACAGACAGACGGACAGACAGACAGACGGACAGACAGACAGGTGCACAGCAACAACAGTAGCAACAACTACACTAATAGTAGTGACTGATGGTGATGAACATGACAACAGCAACGATTGGGGACAATGAGCAGTGACAACAGCAACAACAGTAACCGTAGCTATAATAATACTTATAATAATAATAACACTAATCAAGTCTTTTAGTTGTTCCAAAGTACAGGACAGAAACATTTATAACTTTTAGTTTTTAAACAGCATGAAGAGGGTCTGAGAGCAGCTGCATAAAGAAAACGCCTTTGTTTATCTGTAGGATGAGAATTTCTTTGTTACTGGACATACAGGAGGTGTACAAAATAAAAAGCATTGTCCATTATGACTGCAGTCTGTGTCAGGTGCTCAAGTCATGACTTCAAGTTTAACAAACACTCACATTTGCAATCATAGATGATTTATACATTTCTATGAGATTGTAAATAACATTAATCTCGTATACCACCAATTCAGCTGGATGTGCAAAATCCCATACAAGTACTATGTGAAAATGATCACCACATTTGCAGCGAACATTTTGAGGAGGATGACTACAGAGACACAACACAGCGGGGCCGGCTGAAGAGAAATGCCATTCCAAGGATGAAGACTGCTGCAACCACTGTGGAGGTAATGTTATATTCATAACTTCATTTAGCTTTGTTTTGGCAGACACGGCTTGAGAAGGGATGTGCGGCAACACATTTTTAAGGGGAAATAAACTTTTTTTTGTCAGAAGGCATTATGTCCATGATCACATAGTACTTGTATGGGAGTTTGCACATCCAGCTGAAGAACAACTAGCCACAACTGCAGTATCTCATGGTCATGGAAAGGTAGATGATGGAAGTGTAGGCACTTGTACCTTCTCATTCTGTTGCCACCAATTGGAAAGGCACAAACGTGAACCATTTCTTCTCCACAGTAGATCAACACACGTTATTCTTACTCCAAGCTTCTTCCCTTGTGAACACCTCCGATCTCCACTCATTTCTTCTTCTGCGTTAACCTGCAACAAGAAATCTCACTGGACTTAAGCGCCAGACAAGTCCCGCGCTGAAGTCCCGTGGGATTTCTTGTTGCAGGGAAACGCAGAAGAAGAAATTGTTGCAGGAAGTGTGCAAATCGGAGAGTAGTGTGTGAAGACATGGACATTTTTGAGGGGAAAATAAACTTTTTTTCGTTGCGAAGGCATTATCTCCGTGATCAATTATTCTGGGCTTTCGGTGAAGCGAGTGGTGGAAAAACAGGTAGGCGACAGTACTGTTTGTACAGTTTCTGCACAACGTATGAGTTGAAAAGGCATGTTGTTGTCACGTAAGGGCCCTGATCATGTTGCACAGACATTTTAACTGCATTTTGTGTCTGTTAAGAGGAGCAAAAGGCACTCTTTAGGATATGCCCCCAAGAAGTGTATTATAACTAACTGGGAGCTCTGGCCATTAGCTGCAGGATCTCCAGTTTGCTAGAACCAATTCTGGTCATTCTTTTTCCTATCGATAGTACTCGGGGACCTCTAGTGATCAAGACTAGGGTAAAAATCTGCCGAAGTTCCCCTTTAAGGGAAAATGAGAAAAACTATACCATGCCCATGAACACAAGAAGATTTATTTTTTATTTTGCCCATGTCCCCTCAAGGGCGTTGTACTTTTGTAGCATTTAGATTTATTTATTTTTTTGCATATAAAGCCTTATTTTCTTCAAAAAACAAAAAAATCAGCCAGTGAAGTCAGATATCTGGGGGGCGCTATCATTGCAGGTCTCTCCACTCCACTTTTATAAGTGGGCCAAAACAAATACAGGTCAGAGTTTTTGCAGTGTGACCTCAGTGTGAACAATCATGTCAGAATTTACGTTTCTGTCACTCTAGATAAACATTCGTCATGCGGGTCACTTCAGCAACATAACCTGTTCACACTGGAATCTGATATGGTCAACACTAAAAAGTGATGTGAGCAGCCAAACAAAAAGAAAATAGATCTGAGCAATTAATCAGAAGTGAGCTGCTTAGCTTGCAGTGTGAACGTAGCCAAAGTGTTGCATTGTAGAACTGCATAGACAACAGAAATGTTCTGTTTTGTCTCCATGCTGGGTTTTTTTTTATATTGTCTTCAATAAACACCAATTTGTTTTCCTGTTCAGAATAAAGACCCCATAAACATATGTTCTGTGTCCTGTTCTGGTTTAATTTTGCCACATTGCATTATTAGAAATTACACATCATGTAAGCGAGAATACCTGACAATAAAGACCATCCCACATAAAGTGGAGGATAGTTTGCCTCCACAGAGATTCTCACTGCAGTATTAAATTACAAGAACAGAAACAGCAAGGCTTAGCTAAAGAGCTCAGCGCTCGAGTTATTTCTGTAACTACCACCAACAAAAATGATAAACAGCTTCTCTACTTTTTGTAAAGAACTTTCATTATTAATTATATAACAGGCAAATAATGAGTCCACATTGTCACGGTAACATAATGAACAAACTCGCTGAGGTCATACAGTACCGGCACACAAACAACAACAATGTAAGAAATGAGTTTAAATTAAAATATAAAGAGACCATAGGCACTAGGTACAAAACATAATATGCAAATATGATTATAATGCTATGTACATATTCAACTTAAGATGTAGTGAGGGAAAGGGAAGAGCAAGCTACTCACTGACAACCGACTACATTTAAAATGTGTCTAAAATAATAAAAAAATAATAATGTGAGGGAAAAGAGTGAACTTTTGAGCGTTATCTGCAGTGAAGCTGCAGGAGTGGGGCACAGCTGTAGGTACATTAGATTCTTGGACAACTGATAATTATCATGTACAACATTTCATCAACAGCAGACTCTAAGGTGAACAATAACTTCTTTCTGGTCACTTCATTTCTCTGATACCGTGTCTGTACTGTCATACTATAATACTTTCACACACACACACACACACACAATACATGAATGTGTATCCTATTAAAAGACTCAAGGGAACTTGGTCCTCCTCTTTTACAACTGAAACTAATATCACATAGACTACAGCCAAGTGCAGACTACAAGACTTTAAAAATCCCCAAAAATATGTGTAACTGCTCGAATCAGAAATTTTTTGTTGCACAAATTACACAACTGATCTCAGACGAGGAGTAGTGATTCCAAGATCATGCCACGACTCAATTTCGTGACTGTAGCAAATAATCATAATATTCCACAGTAAGGGACGCAATACAGAAGCTGATTTGACTGGACCTTAGTTCTCTGAATTACACACCTATTTACTTAGAGAACAGACAGATCATGATGAAGCTTTAGAGTCTGATTATTTGCTCTGAGTACTAATTGTGCAATATTGCTAACCATTTCCTCGAATTAAAGCTACAATCCTCTCTTTTACCATCCTGCCAACTACAAACGGCTTTCAGTTTTTATCTGAAATTACTTTTTCATTGATCTGACAATTTGCTTTGAACAATGAATGATGAATTAAGTTATCAGTAGATTATGGGACAGTGAAAACAGCACAGGATAAAGTGAATACTTTACATATGAAACTTCGAAGAAAGTGAGTTCGACATTTGACACAGCTGAAAGTTGGATTTACAATAAATGAATAAATTATCTCGTAAAAAAAAAGTTCCTACCTGGAAATAAAAAAAAATAATAATATCAGTTTAAGGTTTGTGTGTGTGTGTGTGTGTGTGTGTGTGTGTGTGTGTGTGTGTGTGTGTGTGTGAGTGAGTGAGTGAGTGAGTGAGTGTGTGTTGGGTTTTATACTGTTTATCTATACAGTCACCAAACACAGGGACACTGAACCAAACCAGAGCCTGAACCCAGGATAAAGAGGTTCAGTGAATGTGGTGTTGAAGGTGTGGAGGTGGATCATTGTGTCAGAGGAGACTCTGTAGAAGGACAGAGTGCCAGAAGGACAGTCCACATACACTGCTACTCTACCAGAGGAGGAAGAGGAGGAGGAGGAGGGGGAGGAGGAGATGACTGTTTCTTTGTTATTGTGCCAGACAGAGTAACCAGCATCAGAGCAGAGCAGACTCCAGGACTGATCATTCCCTCCAAACTTGGAGGCATTGCTGTAGCCTTTTCTTCTGATTCTTCTGTAAGTCACTGCTACATCAACCTTTCCCTGCCACTCAACCTCCCAGTAACAGCAACCAGTCAGAATATTGCTACACAGCAGCTGAGTGAAGATATCAAATCTCTCTGGATGATCAGGATACGGCTGCTGTCCATTTAACAGTTCCACCTTCCTGTTATTGTCAGACAGTCTGAGGTGTCTGTTCACAGTGTTTTGGTCCAATATGAGTTCACAGAAATCTGATGGAGAGAAAGAGACAGTTTATCATCCCACAACTGATGGGTTTATTAGTTGTTATCTATTAGCAGACTGGGGTATCTGTGGCTCAGGAGTGGGTACTCCACTGATCACAAGGTTGCCATCTGTGTGTGAGAGGGTGAATGAAAGGCTAATTGTAAAGTGCTTTGGGATTATTGGGCGTATGTGACTAGAGCAGGTTGTCTACTAATTGGAAGGTTGTTGGTTCGATCCCCCCAATTATCCTTGAGCGAGATCCTGAACCCCAAATTGCTGGTGTGTGAATGTGAATAAATGGGATGGACTTTGCCGTGTGTGTGAAAGGGTGAATGTGGTGTAAACACGCTTTGAGTGGTTGGACTAGAAAGTTGCTATACAACTACAGGTCCATTTACCATTTAATGTTTTGCTGATTGACCAATTGACTAGTTGTTTCATTTCTAGTTTGATTCTTAAAACCATGAGGGGTGTGTGTTTGTAACCCTAAAATCTGTGTTGTCTGGGCCAATAGCTTCTGGTAGAGGCTTAAGACCTGTGTGCAACTCTTGAAGAGCACTATTGATTTACGATTGTCTATTGATAAATGGGTCTCATCTAGGTTAGGGGACTCAAGGACTCTTCTTAAAGCCAGGCCTGGAAAAGGAGGAGAGGAAGAGAACTTTAGTATGAAGCCTTTTAGTCTTATTTCGCTCAGGGGACTGCTGAATTTTCAGGCAGGTAGAATAGAATAGACTTCATCTTTGGTGGTTATTGAAGTAGATATGGTGTGGGTGGAGATTTTGCTTCATGCTTCTGAACAAGGCTGATGCACCTTCTGGGAAGGCAAAGGCAAAAGGTTTCAGGGGAAAGTTGATGGAGGTTGATAAAGCAGTCAACAAGGTATTCAATCACAGACTGTCAAAGATCTGGTTCAGGAAGAATCTAATACAGATATAGATTCCATCCAGGTGTCTGGTGGTGGATCAGCTCTTTTGTTTGCATTCAGGCCTTGAGGATACATGACTTACTTCTCAAATTAAATCTACTGATTCTCCCCACTCAGTAAAGGCACTAACAAGTCCATAGCATTTAAAATATTATACAGTTACTTACAGTTCCTTAATCCAGGTTTTAGCCTCTGTTCTCCACCATCCACCCTGAAGGAAGAAATGAAGTCAGAGCGGCATGTTTCAAACAACCTAAATCCTGATTTGGGGGAGATAACATGGCAATCATGTCCACTTTACGCAATGATTGGTCAGTTAAGGAATGTTACATTGCTTTCTCTCTCCAGCTCTTATTTTTCACATTTTAGGTGAACAGACCTGCCCACTTTAATTTGATTCACCGTGTCTTGCCCAGCTGTATGATGCTTTGTATGGACCAATCTGCTTCAAGCATACCCTGCCTTAAGGTTATTAGAATGACAGAAAAACATTGTGTGAACTCTTATTGTCTGTCCATACTTGAGAGTGTCCAGTCTCCAGAGTGGATTCTTCAGTCCAGCAAACAGCCACTTCACTCCTGAGTCTCCTGGAGGATTGGTACTCAGGTCCAGCTCTCTCAGATTGGAGGGATTGGAAGTCAGAGCTGAGGCCAGAGAAACATAGCCTTCCTCTGTGATCAGGCAGCTGGACAGCCTGACAAACACACACAAACAAGGTTGAAAAGTTAAGTTCTTTATTTTTGGGCAATTTTTCAAAGTTAAAGGATAGTGCCTGTAACATCCGTAGTTGTTCCTTCAGTTGAAAAATGTATCATGACACTACATGTAAAGCAGCACTTACAAAGAAATATGGATGTATGCTGACCTGAGAGTTTCCAGTTTACAGTGTGGACTCCCCAGTCCAGCAGACAGAAGCTTCACTCCTGAATCCTGCAGGTTGTTGTTACTCAGGTCCAGCTCTCTCAGACTAGAGGACTGGGAGCTGAGAACTGAGGACAGAGCTTCACAGCTTCTCTCTGAGAGGTTACAGCCACTCAGCCTTAAGCAGAATGATCAATGACATTAAACAAAATGTTTTATTTCTTATCTCTACTGGATACAATTATTTGATAGTATTAATATTTATGTTATCAATCCACCTACAGAGCTTTCTTGGAAGCTTTGACCACTGGCAGCAGCCTCAGAAGAGCCTCCTCTGAACCAGAGTATTTCTTCAGGTCAAACACATCCAGATCCTTTTCTGATGACAGTAAGATGAAGGCCAGAGCTGACCACTGCGCAGGAGAGAGTTGGATGTTGGAGAGTCTTTCTAAAATCAGGTAACGTTGGATCCCCTCCACTATGGATCTGTCATTCAGTTCATTCAGACAGTGGAACAGATTGATGCTTCTCTCTGGAGACAGATTCTTGTTGATCTTCTGATTAATGTATTCAACTGTTTCCTTGTTGGTCTCTGAGCTACTTTCTGTCTGTGTCAGCAGACCTCGTAGGAGAGTCTGATTTGTTTCCAGTGAAAGACCCAGGAGGAAACGGAGGAACAAGTCCAGGTGTCCATTTGGACTCTGTAAGGCCTTGTCCACAGCACTCTGGTAGAGATGCTTTAGTTTAGGTTTGTCTTTGAAGACCTTAGACAACTGGGATGTTGTTTGTTGTTCTGCCAGAAGGTTGACTCCAGAGCTGATGAATGTCAGATGGACATGAAGAGCAGCCAGAAACTCCTGAACACTCAGATGGACAAAGCAGAAGACCTTGTCCTGGTACAGTCCTCTCTCCTCTTTAAAGATCTGTGTGAACACTCCTGAGTACACTGAGGCTGCGCTGATATCGATGCCACACTCTGTCAGGTCTGATTCATAGAAGATCAGGTTGCCTTTCTGCAGCTGCTCAAAAGCCAGTTTTCCCAGAGACTCAATCATCTTCCTGCTCTTTTTATTCCAGTGTGTATCTGCCCCAGCTCCTCCATCATACTTGATGTTCTTCAGTTTAGACTGAACCACCAGGAAGTGGATGTACATCTCAGTCAGGGTCTTAGGCAGCTCTCCTCCCTCTCTGGTCTTCAACAAATCATCCACAACTGTAGTAGTGATCCAGCAGAAGACTGGGATGTGGCACATGATGTGGAGGCTTCGAGATGTCTTGATGTGGGAGATGATTCTGCTGGTCTGCTCCTGATCTCTGAACTTTTTCCTGAAGTACTCCTCCTTCTGTGGGTCAGTGAACCCTCTGACCTCTGTCACCATGTCAACACACTCAGGAGGGATCTGATTGGCTGCTGCAGGTCGTGAGGTTATCCAGAGGCGAGCAAAGGGAAGCAGGTTCCCCCTGATGAGGTTTGTCAGCAGCACATCCACTGAGGTGGACTTTGTCGGATCAGTCAGGATTTTAGTCTTATGGAAGTCTAGAGGAAGTCGACACTCATCCAGACCGTCAAAGATGAACACAACATGGAACTCTTCAAACCTGCAGATTCCTGCTTCTTTGGTTTCAGCAAAGAAGTGATGAACAAGTTCCACCAAGCTGTATTTTTTCTCTTTCAGCACATTCAGCTCTCTGAAAGTGAATGGAAATATGAACTGTATGTCCTGGTTGGCTTTGTCTTCAGCCCAGTCCAGAGTGAACTTCTGTGTTAAGACTGTTTTCCCAATGCCAGCCACTCCCTTTGTCATCACTGTTCTGATTGGTTCATCTCTTCCAGGTGAGGGTTTAAAGATGTCTTCTTGTCTGATTGTTGTTTCTGGTCTATCTGGTTTCCTGGATGCTGGTTCAATCTGTCTGACCTCATGTTCATCATTGACCTCTGAGGTCCCTCCCTCTGTGATGTAGAGCTCTGTGTAGACCTGGTTCAGAAGGGTTGGGTTTCCTGCTTTAGCGATCCCCTCAAACACACACTGGAACTTCTTCTTTAGGTTAGATTTAAATTCATGTTGGCACGCTGCAGCAACAGTTCCTGAATGAACAAAGAAAATGAATGTATGTAATGTAATTAGTAAGTGGAAGCTCCAATAAATATGATCAATGTAAAAAGTTTTTAGTTCAAGTCTCTTCAGCTCATCAGTTGTGAACAGTTTCTGTTATCAGAAGAATTCATAGATCTGATGTGTGCATCATATTAACAGCTAACTTCTCCCATGTTGCCTCCATTTCCTATTTCCTTCATGTTCAATCTGTTAATATGTTCTTACTGCTCTGCAGACAGTCAGCCAGCTCCTCCTGCTCCATTCTCCTAAGGAAGTGCAGTGTGATCTTCAGAAATGAGTCTCTGCTGCTCCTCCTCTGCTCTTCATCCTCACCATCCAACATCTCCTCATCCTCCCTCTGACTCTCCGAGCAATCTGGGTAATCTGGACTCAGAACTCTCTGGATCTTCTTCAGCTCGTTCTTCACAAAAGTGACAATGTTTTCCTCAAGCAGCTGGAACAGAATAAAATGTAAACTTTAACTCGTAGAACTCAACATCAGATCATCTGTGACAGACTGAAATCCTGCTGGTCTACAGAGTGCAGCATTGAGACTGGATCAGAACTGTAGTTCAGGATTTAATCATTGATTTACATTTACATACTATAAATATGGAGTCCAGTTCTGTCTGATGCTGATGGACAGACTGACCACTGGGAACCTCTAAGCTCCTCTCATAAACTCTGTGAAGCAAAGAAACACTCAGATGTTGTTCTGTCACACATAATTCAGGTAGTACACAAAATTAATGCTTTCATAATGTTAACCTTAAAAAAGCTGAAGGGTTTTCGTCTTTGAAACGAACAGGTCGATACATGGACCTGTCACTCTTCATGGACACACAGCTGGGTTCAGGAAGATCTGGTCTCTGCGTGAGGATTCTGTGAAAAACACTGATTGATTCAGGTTCAGATCTTCAGGACTTTTTCTGTGAATAAACTTATACTAGCTACTGGCAGAGCCTCAGAGACCAAGAGAAAAGCTGGTCTTCTTGCTGTGGGACTAGTCAGTAATATTAGCTGCTTCCTATGTCTGCTGTCTTGTCCTGTCTTGCTTGGTGTTTGTCTCTGTTAGCAAAGTTGCCAACTCGTTAGTTTTTTATCATAAGTAATGTAATCATAACAAACGTACAGATGTCCATATTTACCACAGTGGCTTTGCAAATCTTACATAGTCTTTGTGTTTAAGAAACAAATGAGAATCACATTCTATTCTTACGGATGAGCTGAGGGGTGTCCATCTTTGAAACAAACAGGTCGATACATGGACTTGTCACTCTTCATGGACACACAGCTGGGCTCAGGAGGATCTGGTCTCTGCTGAAGGACCCTGATGGAAACACAGAATTGCAACAAACAGTTAATCTTTTAGTGTTAGTCTTGAAAATTGGGTTTTGTTGGATGAAATCAGCAAACAAGTGGCTGTATTTTTATATAATAAGGGTTTTATGAGTTTTTTGACATCAAAGGCCTCTGTTTGTGACGGTTCTGGTCAGTCTTATCTCCATCTTTCAACTCAGCATGTTTAAACATTGTTACGTGTATAGATTTGTGTGTGTGTGTGTGTGTGTGTGTGTGTGTCTCTTTCTCTCTCTCTTCCCCAGTCCTGCAGGTGAGAGGTAGAAGATTGGAAGATTGGCTGCCAGCCTGTGAAAAGAGCCGTGGATTGGCTCACACTCCGGCCAATCAGAGACGGAGTGACCTTTGAAAAGCCTCTCTCTTGTTTTGCTCTCTCTCTCTGACTTTGCTTTGTTGGGCAGGAAGGTTTGTGGTGGGGACTAGGGACTGAGGTAAGACTGGGGTACCCTCTACATCTACACACGTAGAAAGAAATTGTTGTCACACCAGGTTATGGGTTGTTGTCACTGTTGTACTTTTATTATTTTTAGGTGCTTTTTGTAGGCAAGACAGTCAGGCTTTTTGTTTCCTTTTTTCTTTTCACACATAAGGTTCAGCTAGGCCCTTTATGATTGTACTTTGTTTTATTTGGCAAAACCCCACAGGTCCCTCTTCCCCCCCACATTGTTCAAACCTACATTCGTTGTTTACCTTTTCACTTAAATATTCCTATTATTAATATCCCATTTCTTTGACTGTCTTGCGTTCTCCTGAGTTCTTCTTTGTTGGTTGTCAGTGTTAATGTCTCCACGTAAGTGGAAACATAACAAACATCAACCGGAGATCCTTGACAGAAACCCAGTTGGGTCCAGTAGAGTCTGGTCTCTGCTGCTTCTTCGTGCTTCAACACAACACACAGTTTTTGACTGCGAATAATAATGTCAGGAAAACCTTAAAGAAAATTCTGGTTCATTTCAACTTGTGAAATCTTAACAAATGTGGCTATAATGACTATGGGCTGTATTAACTTTATACACTCAATCTCCATCGTACAGATTTGGGGAAATGAGGACTTGGGGTGCAATGTGAGCCTCCTATGGCTTTCTAAATAAACATGATTTTTACATGAATAATTTCAAATGCTGATTTCTTGACCAAAAGTAAACAGTAGTCACCTTGAACCTCCATAGAGATCTACATCCGATTTTAACTCATTGGCTGATGAGGAGGCAGCTGTGGGTTTGGATAAAAGCACTGTGTGTAAATGCAGCCATTTACCGTTTCAACCACCCTGCATATTCAACACAATAGTGACTGGCTTCCACTATAAGGTTGGAACAGAGTGGGTGGAGGAAAGATTCTAACTAAATGTTTGTGTTTTTTGCTTAATTGGTAAAACATAATGCAGTCCCTCATGTAAAATTGGTTTTTACGTGTTGTATTTAGTGATGACTCAATTCCACTTTTGCACAATACCAAAATGAAATATAAATAAATTACAAAAATGCATAAATTGCATTGGATGTTTTGCTTTTGTATTCCTTTAGGTTAAGATAACTCCACACAGCTGACATGGTGACAGCGCTGCTGACGTGTCTCACACACGTTCTAGATACTGTTGATGTGACACATGCTGCTCATTAGTCGCTCAGAGTGTAGTTAGTTTAGGTAGGCATTTATGTCATAATTTCGGCTAATGGATCGGATAATCAAATCACAACTTGTTGAACGTTGAATAATTTGAATAATTTTAGATAAGTGCAGTGATCTGAGTGCTGAGCTCTGACATGGAGAAGAGTCATGGACAGTTGGAGATCCTCATCTCACCTCTGAGCTTTGGTCCTTGTGTCATGTTCCCCACACAGAGTGCTTTTAGAGGGAGGGACTCCCTCCTCTCTGTCCTCACACTGATCCATAGCAGAGCCCACACCTTCACAAAGACACAACATCATTCATTACAACAGGCTTTAATCACACTTTCATTCTTCATTCTACCACCAGATGGAACCAAAGTAAGACACTATTTTACAGATTTCCAGTTTGGATAAAGGTTTCAGAAACTACTTCTATACAGTTGTATTTGTTGTCCACTAAAGAGCTCATATGGAGCAACTTTTAGTCTGCTGTGTGCTAGAATAAAGAAAATGCACTACAGGTGAATTCAAAGTCCAGCTCCAGTCACATGTTGGGACTGTTTTATAATGCAGACATCTCTCTGAATCTGAGACTGGACTTCATTCACTAATAAAAGTGAGGTCTGTCACACTCAGAGACATGTGTATTTAGAATAACTGACTGGATGTACATAAAGATACTAATGCAATGAAACCTTCTCATCTATTTTGTTGAATACGTTTAAGGGAACTGAAACGTATTCTGTGTACTCTCTGTACTAAGCTGCTCTCATATCAGATTTGTGTGGTTGAAATAAAATGCATTCCAGTCTACTGAGGTGGATCCAGTTAATGATAAAACTCTTTTTTCATCAGATCAGAGCGGCATCTTCATGTTTCTCTCAAAACATATTCACTGTTGCACATTAGTGATAGGAGAAGGGATGAACTAAGATTCTAAGAATTGTCTGCTGCTTCCACTTATAGCTGTTACAGATGTTTTATACATTGTTAACTTTATCTTGTTTTGACCTTTACAGTGTTGGATAAGAAGGATGTTAGGGAGGTTTTTATGGTTTCATGGTTGAACTAGTTCTAGTTTAGTTCTAGTTCAACCTTCATGTTGCAAATTAACACCAACTACATTTAAATATTAATAACAGACAACGGGCCTCATAAAAGAAGCAATATACAAACAAATGCTTTCTTATGTGTTTGTATCCATGATCCGTTCTTATTTTGTTTGCACACATTTTAATTCTGGGATTCGGTTTTCTTACGTTTTATGAGCTCTCTTGGATTAGATAAGAAAACTCATCTTGTTTTCACCAAAGCAAGGAAATTAACATAAAAAAAACATGAATATTTGGTAATAAAAGATTAGATTATATGTTTTCAAATAAACTATAATGATAGGATTATTACATGTGTGGGCTAGATAAATACTATTGGTCCATTGATCTCTATTGAAAGTATAAAAACCCTGGAATGATACTGCCTATGTTCAGCTTCTGAAAGGCTTCCATACTGCTCTGATGACATGAACGAACAAACCTACCTATCACAAATTTAAGAAAATGTTGCTGCATGAGGCCCAATGACAGTGTCCAAGTCAAGTTAGAAGACTCACTGTGATAAAGATACTCCATTATCCACAAACAGAATGTACTGTGATTGATGACAGTGATTGACTGTAGTTTATATAATGTGAGATTTATTTTATATGAATATCCTATAAAGATGCTGATGTTGTTGCTTTGTGTTGCTGCAGCTCTCAGACTGGTTAAAAGACTGAATATCATCAATGAAAAGATGATTTCAACAGTATCTGAGACATCATTATTGTTAAGAACTCTTACTGTAACATATCTGATGACTTTTATTAGCTGTTAATCACTAACCACGCCCCCTGTGAACAGCTTCAAACTCTGCTGGACTGTGGACAGTGAACGCCCCTGTAGCAACCAATAATGGATAAACTCTGATGTTGTCATAAGATTTATACATAGAGCTAGCTTAGCATGAGTGGAACAATGGATGGTACACAGTGAACATTCATGTTATTGTCTCTAATGCTGTGGCTGACAGAATACAACAGTCCTGTAATAAATCCAACCTTTGTGAAACTGGCAGCAGTTGATTCAATCTGTGCTCATTCTTTAGTTTCATGGTGTTGATGTACTGGATCACATTTTATTCTTCAGCTGTTTCTAATATTGTTTGCTCCTCTGTATACGTTTGTAAATGAAGGAGATCAAATATTAGACACAGAACTACAACAGCACCACAATGAATCAACTACAGTCATCTCAACTAAACTCTACAGTCTGCAGTCAACAAAGCACCACAGCACATCACTACTGTTATCAGATCAGTTTCACTGCACAAACGTTACGTTACCTTCTGATGGTGGAAATAATCTGCATGGAGCTGATGAGTGAAGGTGAATTAATGAGCAGCTTCAACCAGGAAACCAACCAGAGAAAGAACATGTAACTGACAGCAGGAGCTTTTCAAAGGTCTGTTGATTCACATACAGTCTCAACTCTCTGTATTCATCTTCAGACTGAAGTGTTCTTTAAGGAGGTATGATCACAGAGCAGCTCTGAACCTTGGAACCAACAACCTGGAACAACAAGTCAAACATTAATAGACAGTATAAAACCTTATCAGTTGGATTATAAAGGTCTGATGATAGAATTTAACCCTTGGTGACTTCTGAATCTGAACCCTACAACTAATCTGATTCACCAAAGTTAACTCTGTGTTCATTGGGTTCCAGCTGTGATGACACGCACGTGCACACTACTCTTCCGGGTCTGTTTGTGTTCAGCGTGTCACCAGCCAGCCCTGCCCCTTTAAGACTGTGTGTGTGTGTGTGTGTGTGTGTGTGTGTCTGTCTGTCTGTCTGTCTGTCTGTCTGTCTGTCTGTCTGTCTGTCTGTCTGTCTGTCTGTCTGTCTGTGTGTGTGTGTGTGTGTGTGTGTGTGTGTGTGTGTGTGTGTGTGTGTGTGTGTGTGTGTCGTACAGGTTCAGGAAGGAAAACAGGAAGAGAAGAGGTAGACATCCATGGTGACAGACAGACGTAGAAGAGCTAGCTCATGTTAATGCCTAGGTGTTTAGTACACAGCAGTGTCCAGACAGAATTTGACCAGGCCCGGTGTTGTGTTCTGCCTTTGCTAAAGAAAGGAATTAAATGTGTGGTTTTGAGAGAAGAGAGAGAGAGAGAGAGAGAGAGAGAGAGAGAGAGAGAGAGAGAGAGAGAGAGAGAGAGAGAGAAAACAACAACAAAAACAAGCGTTATTTCTTTATAATCTTCAATATCCATCAATCAAGGTTACAACAATAATGGCAGGCAAAGGTTTTTTTCCAGTAATTTTTATTGTTCGTTGCATTCTATATGTCGTTTGATTTAGTACATACAGTAATTATTTCAGTCGGTATCTTACCTGACGTCGAAAGCCGTTGTGTGGGAGGCCATGACGTCACCAGTTACGTCAGGGGCGTACCATGTTAACGGGGGATTAAGCTGTATATTTAATTCTGTTTCGTTCTCGTTTTATGAATGGTGGGGAATATTGAGTGGGTGTTACATTCAAACGCCATAGGAAATTCGAGCGATATTATGGGTAAAGTTTATTGAAGCTTGTGTCTTGGTAAAAGATATCTGTAAATAAATACCAGCTGAAGTGAGGATGGTTTAATCCACGTCTAGTCTTCAGGCAGGTAAGAAATATATAAGGATCAGTTCTCTGGGGAAGAGAAGTGGGGAGAGAGAAATTGCTGCTGAGACAAGTGCTGTTAATTTCAATCTAGTATGAGTTGATTTTTCTTTTGTTTTTTTTTTGTAAAAAATGTTTAGTTGTTTTTTTGTTGCTTTTGTTACGACCCGGCTCGTGGGGGAGAGGGAAGCAACATGAACCAGAATGTTTTTGGTAAAATTGCAAGTATTTATTTGCAGGGTTCACAAGAAAACCAGGAAAAGGGCTGTTGGATGCTGCTTAACTCAAAGAAACAAATATAACTTAAAGAGGTCTCTCCAAAATGAGAGATAGCCACTGACTACTTCAAAATCAAATTAAACAAAACTCTGACCCGTCATCAATAATCAAAAATACAAAGTAAGCAGCACCCTCTAAAACCTAGAGTGTCTAACATAAAATCAATCTACAGGTGTCCGGTGTGTGTCAGTTACCCCCACCTAGATCCTTGCCCAGTTTCCTTACCACAGTTCAGATTAAGGCAACACAGGAGACACTAGGATCTTATACTTAAACTATGGCTCTTACAGAAGTTAACATTTACAACAGGAGAGCACAATACACACAGGCAAACTGCCCATTCAACAGGTAGGCAGCTATTTAAATAGAGGAAGGCGGTAGATGATTGGAGGGACTGCCAGACGCCGCACCAATCAGATCACCGGCTGGAACCAGGAAGTAGGCAGGTCTCGCGCCAGCCAATCCTCGGCAAGGGGTCACACATCCTGCTTAACATGACCCAACTGCACAACACAGCTACACATCTCCAGATAATGGAGATGGCCTAACACTTTTCACATTTTGGGAAGCACTTGAATAAATGCCCACACAAAGGGACTTCTACCACAACGTCCTGAGTCTGCCTCCTACTTTTGACCTACTCCTGTCTTACACAGTGCTCTGTTAATGAGCACAAAGTGCAGCCAGGGGTAGGCCAAGGGATGTGTGTGTAGAGTTTTTCACAAAAGCTGCCATACCTGAATTAAACCGACGAAGAAGAGACTCCTGAGTCGGTACTGCACACGGTTAGCAATCTTACAGCATTGGCTGGATGCTGTCAAAACATCTATTTGTGTTATGTACCATTCTTGTTGAACACTGATTGCATAACCTGTATAAACATCAGAGTGACGTCAAAACCAGTAAAGACTCCTCCCCATCAGAAGTATTTCTACTTCCTCCTTCCTCTCCCTGAGCTGAGTGTTGGGGATTTGTTTGTATTGTTTCAGATCCATCTGTCATTATTGTTGATGAAGACTGCGAGAATAAAAGTGCTTTAATTCTCTGAATATGATGTTGGCATTGAGATGGTGTCGCACCTTTCCTCTATCTACAGTAGTGATGGGTCGGTCGCGAACGATCCGGCTCTAAGAGCCGGCTCTTTGAAGTGAACGACGGGAGCCGGCTCCTGATTGGGAGCCAGATCCGGATTTTTTTTTCAGATTTTCCCGTTTTTTCCTGTTAAAGCCGCGTGATTGGTCAAGATGTGTGGCGGCATCTGTGTATCTACACTGAGCAGGAGGGGGAGGGAGGGGTTACAGACACACACGGCACAGTGAGCACGTGAACAGGTGGGAGGGAGACGTGAGAGCGAGAGACCTTGGCGCTACATAGACAGAGACTACACACTGGAAAGGGCGAGGAAAATGAGTGACAGGAAACGTAGTAAAGTTTGAACACATTTTAATGTGATAGTTCAAAGGCAGAGTGTAGACTGTGCAAAGTTAAACATTTCATATCAAGCAGCTTTTTGTCTAATTAAGATGGGTCTTTGTTTTTGTGTTTTATAATTTATTTTTGTAGCACTCAGTTCCATGTTGACTATATTAATTAATCCATATAAATACTAAACATTTGATATAATGCATGTATTTACATTAGATATTCATTTTACACATAATTTGGTAATAAATTAATTTAAGCAAAAAAAAATATGAGGAGCCACTTGGGAGCCGAAAGAGCCGGCTCTTTTTAGTGAGCCGAGCCGAAGGAGCCGGTTCTCTAATAAGAGCCGGAATTCCCATCACTAATCTACAGTCACTGTCAGAGAAATCACTGATCAGTAGATGTAGTTCCACCATCTTTCCACTTGATGGTGCTAAGCAACCATCTAATGAGCTAAACATCAGCTCAGGACAGAAATGTGATGAGGAGCAGCAATTTGTATCATCAGCAGAATGTACAAGAACCCGTCAAACAAAACCATCAAACAGTGTTGACTGAATGACACTAAAGAACAAAAAGAGATCAGCACCCATAAGCGTACAAACTAGTGAACAAAAACCAAACTAGCAGTTATTCAGCAACTTAAAAGGTCACAAAAGATTACAAGGGCACTGGTTGAATCCTCTCAGATAACAGCCAGGCAATACTAGGAAATACAAACACTCTAGACTAACACAATGGTTCAATGGTGTGCAACCAACAGCGAGGCAAACTGATCACTAGTTCACAGCCACCCTGAACTGTGGACACACAAGCTGTTTAGGTGCAGCTGGGGTTGGTTGAAGACTCCTGATTGGTAGCTTCAGTGGAATCGCAGCCACACCAATCACAGATGCCAGGGGACAGCAACCAGGAAGTAGGCGGTCTCTGCTCCAGAAGGACCAATCCTCAACAGGGAATCACATGAAACACCACAATGAATATACACCAAACGACAACCAGCGGCGGAGGCTGTAACATTATCATGTAAACATGTTTTTTTTTTCATAAAAGATTCAATAAATTGTACATTTTGTCCTTCTGTTCTCCACATTAAGCTGATGATAATGAGTGAATTGTCTTTACCTCCAGTGCATTTAAAATGCTTCCTGTTTTTTGAGAAAAGGACACTCTTTTCCCCGTTTCCTCTATTTGTCTGGTTGCTGCGGAGCTGCTGGTTGGTTTTACTTCCCATTCTGAATAGTTCTGCTTTTTTAATTTACTGTAACAAGCTGTTTTCTGTATCTTACTTCTTGATGATGCCAGCAAGATTTTTATCCGAGCATCTACGTCTGCTTTTACTTTTCAGCCGTCAGTGGAGCAGTTATTTATCTAAAAGCTGCCCTTAACATTGACAAGAACTCAACACTTTCCAACGGGACATAAATGATCTTCTGAACAGGTACATTTATCAAGTCTAGAGGTCTGTTTCTATCCTGTAGAATAACCATTAACTTGTGTCTAGGTCAGTTTTTTGTATTTGTGATCTGTTTTGTTTCATGCTGCACTAATGTGAACTTCACTCGCCTCACTGGTTGACCTTTTCTTGTTGAAATGAAAATAACTTTTTTGGCTGTATAGGACTAAATGACTAAATGCATATAACATCGATAAATGGTACAGTACATAGCCAGTGTTAGCTAACATGTCACAACACATACACACACACACTCAGAGTACAAAGCTCACAGGCTCAAATGTCAGCTCATTGTTGAAGACTTTGGCCTTAATTCATCCAGGTTTGTGTGGAGTTACAGATGAAAACAACCTTCTGCCTCGAGTGAATAAAACCACAAAAGTTTTCAGTAATTCTGATGTAAGGTAGTGACCATAGGTCAGTTCATGAAGTGATTCAAGGTCTAATAAAGCAGCTAACTGAATGTGCTCCCCTGTTTGAATTAGTTTGCTTAGGGATAAAAGTGACAACACCACAAGCTACAATTTATTTATTTTTTTTGGTATCTTTAATATAGATATATGTATATATACAATAAAGTGAGGATTCAATTCAGTTAAAAATGTCAGACCTAAGGAAGTAAAGGTTTTTAATTGCTTTGAGATTTTACATTTTAAGCCAGAAAAAGGTAGTACATACATTTTTGACAAAATAAAGACATATTTTGTTGCTTTAATGGAGTTGTTTTATTTTAAAATATATATTTTAAGCAGCTTAAAGTTCAGACTGAGTTTATCATCGTATAGTGATAATGATACTACTAATAATGAGTATTAAACTGTAACATTTACATATAAAGAAAAAATAATAGTCATGTAGAAAAATTCCAGTAGCTGAAACACATTTCTTTTCAATCTTTCAGTCTTTCTTCAGCCAAACAGCAGATGTAAAACTTTATTATTATTATTATTTGAAGTTGTTGTGTCTGTGTGAAGGTGTGGGCTCTGCTATGAATCAGTGTGAGGACAGAGAGGAGGGAGTCCCTCCCTCTAAAAGCACTCTGTGTGGGGAACATGACACAAGGACCAAAGCTCAGAGGTGAGATGAGGATCTCTAACTGTCCATGACTCTTCTCCATGTCAGAGCTCAGCACTCAGATCACTGCACCATCATTATTCACACTCAAAGCTCTGTGTGTGTTGTGTCGAAGCCCAGAGCAGCAGAACACACCAGACTCTGCTGGACTTGAACCTGGACCTGAACCCAGCTGTGTGTCCATTAAGAGTGACTGGTCTATGGACACACCTATGAAGTTCAATGATGGACTCTACTCTGCTAATCAATGGTAAGAATGTAAAATGCATTATCCATCTCTCCTGAGATGAGGTCCCACATTAATCCTTTAGGTGTAGCTACTCTATAGCTATATTCTGAGAAAAATCATTGATTTATCTGCTCCTCGCAATAATGAAGCCCAAAACATACAGTAATGCAATAGTCCCCTCCCTTTGGCATCCTTCCTCTTGTTTTATGTCTGTTGACGATGCCACTGAATTTATTAAGAAAGCAGGTAGGGGTGCATGGTGAGCTAAGGCAGATATCACAGTGGCATCTATTTGGTATTAATTGGAGAGAGAAAAAAATATTTCTCAGTTAGCAATATTTGAAACCTTGCCATAGGTGCTTTGCTGGATTCTTTTAAATAACTGCAAACTGGTTTTTATGCTCCATCATAATAACTGTCTACTAGTTGACTATCCAAATTCTAAACCAGACCAATGCTCTCAAACACACTTTGAAAACATTAAGTGTTTAATCTAAAGTTAACATGTCAGGGATTTATAGGCATCACCCAAGATAGCAACCCCATTCAAACCTTGCAAACAGTCTGTGTGAGGGATGGGAGGGGTCCTTTGCAATGGAAGAGGTTCTCTGTGCACAGGGCCTCTGAAAGATGTCCTCGATGGAGGGGAGAGAAACCTCTATAATCTTCTCAGTTGTTCTAACAACACTTTGCAGGGTCTTGTGTTCCACTTCTTTGCTGCTACCATACCACACAGTGATGCAGCCAGTCAGGACACTTTCTAGACACTCGCCTCTGTAGAAGGTGCTAAGGATGGATGGTGGTTGGCTGGCTCTTTTCAGGCTCAGCAGGAGGAGTTGGTGTTGAGGGACCAGGTGAGGTTGTTGGAGATGCACAGAGAAATGTGGTGCTCTTGACCCTCTCAACTCTGGAACCACTGACGAGCAGAGGCGAGTGGTTGGCTGGTGTGTTCCTGACATCAGCAACCATCTCTTTTTTTTTTTCCACATTGAGAGATAGGTTGTTATCGTTGAACCAGTTTACCAGTTGATTCCGACTTAGTTGAGAGTGAGCAGTGTGAGCAGCAATGGGCACCTGTGCTTACCACAATGGTGCCTGATATATAAATCAAATATAACATACTGTATCTGGAAATAAAGTTTTCTTTTGACAAAAGTGGTTTTGACTAAACTTTCTTCGGGTTGCTGTGTGGATGAGTTTGTCCTCAACAACTAAGGGTGAGCTATATTGTCAATTCCTTGTTTCTCACAGGATCCAGTGTCTTGTACCCACCTGTGTGTCCATAAAGAGTGACAGATCGATGGATCAACCATTTTTCTTCAAAGATAAGGAAAACTTGGCCAAGCGATATACCTGTTTTGAGCAGAGGTATGAAGGTGTGAAAAGAAAACAGGTCCAAGGTTTCATACTTGGCTATTAACATCTGTTTCTATTAGGATTCATGAGGGAAAAACACACTGCAACATGTTTCTATTTCTGTGTGTTTTTGTTATTCCTCCACAGAGTTCATCAAGACAATTCAAATGTTCCTAGTGGTCAGTTTGCCCAGCAGCATCAAACAGATCTGGAATCCATATTTACGGTGTGTAAATGCACAAACACAGCTACTCCAAACCCCAACAAACTGGTCCTACTGTTACAGTCTCCATGATGCACTCTTTAGACCAGCAGGCTTACAGTCTGTGACAAATGATCAGCTTTTGGTAGTCTGACAAACGTATTGTTCTGTTCCAGCTGCTTGAGGACAACATTGTCAGGTTTGTGAAAAATGAACTGAAGAGGTTTCAGAGGGTTTTGAGTCCAGTTGGCCCAGAATCTTTGGAGAGTCAGAGGGAGGATGAGGAGGTGTTGTACGGTGAGGAGGAAGAGCAGAGGAGGAGCAGCAAAGAGTCATTTCTGAAGATCACACTGCACTTCCTGAGGAGAATGAAGCAGGAGGAGCTGGCTGACTGTCTGCAGAGCAGTAAGAAGATATTAACAGATTGAACATGAAGGAAAGAGGAAATGGGGGCAAAATGGGAGAAGTTTACATATAAAACTGCTGTTAATATGATGCACACATCTGTATATTGTTTTATGGTCCATTGATGAGCTGATAAGACTTAATAGGAGGACCAAATATATAAAGCCAGTATTAAGAATGTATATATAAGATTTTCTTTTTTCTTCTTCAGAATATTTCATGTGTCAGCGTAAACTTAAATCTAAGCTGAAGAATAAGTTCGAGTGTGTGTTTGAGGGGATCGCTAAAGCAGGAAACCCAACCCTTCTGAACCAGATCTACACAGAGCTCTACATCACAGAGGGAGGGACCTCAGAGGTCAATGATGAACATGAGGTCAGACAGATTGAAACAGCATCCAGGAAACCAGATAGACCAGAAACAACAATCAGACAAGAAGACATCTTTAAACCTGGAAGAGATGAACCAATCAGAACAGTGATGACAAAGGGAGTGGCTGGCATTGGGAAAACAGTCTTAACACAGAAGTTCACTCTGGACTGGGCTGAAGACAAAGCCAACCAGGACATACAGTTCACATTTCCATTCACTTTCAGAGAGCTGAATGTGCTGAAAGAGAAAAGGTACAGCTTGGTGGAACTTGTTCATCACTTCTTTACTGAAACCAAAGAAGCAGGAATCTGCAGGTTTGAAGAGTTCCAGGTTGTGTTCATCTTTGACGGTCTGGATGAGTGTCGACTTCCTCTGGACTTCCACCACACTGAGATCCTGACTGATGTTACAGAGTCCACCTCAGTGGATGTGCTGCTGACAAACCTCATCAGGGGGAACCTGCTTCCCTCTGCTCGCCTCTGGATAACCACACGACCTGCAGCAGCCAATCAGATCCCTCCTGAGTGTGTTGACATGGTGACAGAGGTCAGAGGGTTCACTGACCCACAGAAGGAGGAGTACTTTAGGAAGCGGTTCAGAGATGAGGAGCAGGCCAGCAAAATCATCTCCCACATTAAGACATCTCGAAGCCTCCACATCATGTGCCACATCCCAGTCTTCTGCTGGATCACTGCTACAGTTCTGGAGGATGTGTTGGAGACCAGAGAGGGAGAAAAGCTGCCCAAAACCCTGACTGAGATGTACATCCACTTCCTGGTGGTTCAGTCTAAACTGAAAAACATCAAGTATGAGGTAGGAGCTGAGACAGATCCACACTGGAGTCCAGATAACAGGAAGATGATTGAGTCTCTGGGGAAACTGGCTTTTGAGCAGCTGCAGAAAGGCAACCTGATCTTCTATGAATCAGACCTGACAGAGTGTGGCATCGATATCAGAGCAGCCTCAGTGTACTCAGGAGTGTTCACACAGATCTTTAAAGAGGAGAGAGGACTGTACCAGGACAGTATTTGTCCAATATGGTTTCACATAATTCTTTTCAAAAAAATTATCACTGCAAACACAGAGCTGCCTTAATCTTAATATTTAGTGCAACTATAGCCACAGCTGTAAGGCCAATATCACAGTGAAATCTATATGGTGACCAGGACACTTCTCTCTTTGAACAGCCTGGAAAAACACAAGGATCTTTGAAATCTTAAGAAAAGTTTTTTCATCTGATCTCACAACTTTCTAATGTATAAGAATATGGAAGTTCTACTATTTAGAAATTGTAGCGCCAATGGAAACTGCTGCCTCAGGCAAAGTAAAGTGGTGAAAATATAAAAAATGTATTTCAGTTATTTTATTTGAATATTGCCAAACAGAAGGACAGATCTCAGGCTCCTGGTTAGCTCAGTCGGTAGAGCTGGAGACCCATGTATAGAGTTGCTGCAGCGGCCCGGGTGACCTGTGGCCCTTTACTGTGTGTCATCCCTTCTCTCTCTATCCCCCTTTCCTGTCAATCTTCAGCTGACACTATCTAATAAAGCCCATAAAAGGCCAAAAAAATAACTTTAAAAAGAAGGACACATCTCTAGATCGCATTCCTTGTAAAATTATTGATAGAAAACCAAAAAATTCCCACCATGAGCAAAACTTCGTTTTAAGAGGCAGAAATCGACAGAAAAAAAAGAATGCATTTGCTATTGCCAGTCAGATGGTTTTGGCAGCCAAGCATGCAATTGCCAAGTGTCATTGATTGGCCGCCTGGTATTCATGATTACCAATGTCGATACCCATTATAGGTGGATTTTTAAATTAAATCAATACCTGCTTTCAGAGTGCAAACAAGTGGATCTGAGACAAAGACATTTCTTGGGTCCCAGATCTGCATATCGAGTACTACAGCTCAAGTCTAAAGCTTGTGTCTGAAATGTTGTTTAATGTTGGGAGGGAATATCTAGATCTAGAACAACCCTCATACCTCCTGAGTCCCAGTTGCCCAACTTTGCAAACATAATTTCTCATGTTTTTCTTTTGAGTCAATGAACACATTGAACAGTTGTTCAGTAAAATGAACCTGATTACTCTTAAGGTTTAGGAAAATGAGAGTTTCTTTTGTTGATTTATTTGCTTCCATATTGTGTCTTGTTTTCTCCATCAGTTGCTTGTGAACTCACACTGGACTCAGACACTGCCTACAGGAAGCTCAGACTGTCTGACGACAACAAGAACGTGACAACAGTGAGAGAGTATCAGCCATATCCTGATCATCCAGAGAGGTTTGACTGCTTCTGTCAGCTGCTGTGTAGAAATGGTCTTACTGGTCGCTGTTACTGGGAGGTCGAGTGGGAAGGAGCCGTTCATATAGCAGTGACTTACAGAGGAATCAGAAGGAAAGGAAACAGTGCCGACTGCAGGTTTGGAATAAATAATCAGTCCTGGACTCTAAGCTGCTCTGGTGGTGGTTACTCTGTCTGGCACAATGACAGAGTAACAGACCTCCCTCGCCGCTCCTCCTCCTCCTCCTCCTCCTCCTCCGGTAGAGTAGCAGTGTATGTGGACTGTCCTGCTGGCACTCTGTCCTTCTACAGAGTCTCCTCTGACACACTGATCCACCTCCACACCTTCAACACCACATTCACTGAACCTCTTTATCCTGGGTTCGGGATCGGGATTGGGTTTGGCATTCGGTCATCTGGTTCTGTGTCTCTGTGTGAGCTGTAGGAGGACAAATCTAGGATTTTTGCCTATATCTGATATTCAGACACCAACAATTTCTTTCATCTAATGGAATAGAAAACACTTTTCCTGTTTTAAACATCTATATGTGTTCCTTTTTTATATCTGTCAAGTGGCCCTCACTTTTGTGAGGTTTGACCTGCAGTTACCCCCCTCTTGAAAAGGCAGCTTGCTTCCTGAAGATTTTCCAACTGGATTTCACTCAAGGACAAAGCTCATCATTCTTTCTTTTCTTTCTTTATTTGAAATTTGCCAATGCCAAAAGCAGGTGAAAAACCTTAGACACAAACACAAACAGTCTTTAAGAAAATGTAGAAACCATAAATCTCCATAATCCAAACTCAAATACTTATTTTTTTACCTACTAGAAAGGAATCTCAAAAATAGGTAATAAACCAACATTTAAAAGTACCCAAAAATAAATTAGACACATTTTAAAGTACTGTTAAATGACAATTTTAACTTAATGATCTTTAGCAGCTTTTACAGCTTTTGAATACACATAAATCACATTTATCAAAATTACTTTTTTAAGGTACACCACATTTCTTAACTCTTATATAAATTATATCATTTTAACTTTCACTTAAATCACATGACTTCTTAATACATCATATTTTAACCTAAAATTACTAAATGAAAGCTCACCGGCTCCTTCTTCAGTCCTGCAGTCTCTTTCCTCCAGGTCAGTCTCTAACCATTTGTCACACTGCTTCCTCCCACCATGCCGCAAGTGAAATGACTCCAAACTCCCCTGATCACCAAATACCTGGTGCACACTCAGTCCGCTGCCCTCAGGCTGGGAGACACACTTGAAGTACTCAGGCAGAGAGGGGCGCGGCCTGCAGCTCAACTTAACAATATTAATTATGTATATTTGTTCTTGTATTACATTTAATGTTGTCAGTAAATTACATCATATTCCTGTTACTCCTGCAGAAGCTCTTTCATAAGGACAAAATCATGATGAGAGAATTTGAAACAACATATCAGATGTACATCATATGTTCAGTTTGTTTGTTTTTGCATAATATAATAAAATAATTATTTTGTATTTGAATGCTGTTGATTTTTGTCGATAATGGTGAACAGGATGAGGTTGGGAGGAATGCATAGGTTGCACTTGAAGTTTTGCTAATGTGTAATATTTTTGTGTCCCTTTTCATGTTTCTGTGTTTTATTTATGTACTCTGCCTTGGTTCATCATGCCAGGGGTTAGAGGGTGAGGTTGGAGTGAGTTGGTGGGAGGTAAACTGAGGAATGACAAAGAAACTGTTGTATTACCCTCAGCTTTGTTTTACATGTGTGACTGTAACAGTCCTTCCTTACAAACAGTAAACAATTTATAGCAAAAAACACAATTCAAAGAACTTTTAATTTATAATTTCATTGTCTCTTTTTGACGAACATTTTTTCCCACAAAATTACTGAATGAATTACCTGAAATTTGATTATGTCGTATTTTAGTTCACATAAGTGAGATGTAGTTTGCCAGGTACTACAACAGCGCATTTTACAAATGCTCAATAAGTCTGTAATTTCTACTCTGTCCAAATTGCAATTTTGAAGACAGTCTAGTTTTTATAGTAACAAAAGAAAATGCAATATTTAAGCGAGAGGGTTTAAAGTGAGGGTACCAAAGCTGTGAAGAATTCAGAATCAGAATCAGAAATATTTATTGATCCCCTGGGGTAATTTGTTTGTTACTTTGTTAATAACACATGCTAAAGAATAGAAATTATACGTATATTACAATATCTAACACAATATAAACTTATGTATAGAAATATATATTAGTGAAAGTAAGGATAAAAATAAAAATGGAAATAGAAATATAATAAGAGCCTATATACAAATGATTGTAAACATATTCCACAGTGGCAGAAATTAAGTTTAAGATTGTGGCTTGCAGAAGTTATAGATAATTAAAGATAATGATTGAATAATTATAGAACAACATAATAACAATCAGGTGTATGGCATTTGGCTTCATATAAGATATTAGAATCTCATGTGATGTCGTTGATGCCAATGATCCAGGATCATCTCCACCATTCAGCCTCGCTCCAGTAGATCCAGTGTCTCATGTTCCCTGGACTGTATTTGATTTGACATTTTGTGTATGTTTGATATTTTAGACTTTTCTCTTTCTGTTTTTGTCTTATAAAAGTTTTGTTCTCATTTTATTTGCTTTGCTGATTATTAGTATGGATGAACTACAGATTGGCAGGCTACTGCTCAAAAATATAATTTAATCATTGATATCCTTGAGCAGAAATGTTAGCCATTGCAGCTCCCTCCACCACCACCCTCCTCATTATGTTGTATTTCCTTTTATTGATTTAACTAAGATTGTAATAATAATCTAAAATAATAACTGGATCTACTAGATATTCATGTGAGGCTTCGGTCTCTCAGCAGAATCCTGGACGCTGCTCAGAAACACTCACACTCATATTGTCACTATGACTCTACATTACACTGTAAACCCAGATAAGTTGAGTTTACTTAAAAAATTTGAGGAAAAAAAATTAATTAATCTTTCATGAAAATTTTAAGTTCAATGCACTAACCTCCAAGTTGATTTAACTTAAAATCATTTGTAATATTAATTTCATTGCTCATTTATTCCACTTAAAATTGAAAGCCCAATGCACTAACCTCCAAGTTGATTTCACTTGAAATCACTTGTAATGTTAATTTACCCAATTACTCCACCTTGTATCTTAATTGTAAAAAACAAAATTACATTTCATTAAACTGTTTTAAACCAGAAATTCTAAATTAAGAAAATAAAAAGCAAAACACAAAAGTACATTCTTTTCATGTTTTATTTTAACTTGGGGCACAGGAAACATTTTTAAAACATATTATTTGTTCTTGGTTGACCCTGGCAGTATATAACATATTTTAGAAGCGAAAGAAGACTGCCTCTTCTCTTTTAACTTCTGCTGCTCTCTACATGCACGAATTGGAAAGTGGAACCACAACTTTAGCTTTGATGTGCACAATGCCAGTGTCTTCCATGCTCCCACTATGACAGGATTGCTGGAGGACTACAAGGACCCTAAGTCCTGCTAATAATAAAACCACAATAAAACCATAAAACATGCCTAGCAATACGGATGGAACCAAACTGCTAGATCAGTACAAATACCATCATCTGATCATCATCAGAAAGACACAAAGACAGTGGAAATACTTAAAATCATATCACAAACAGTGCAAAACAGTAAACATGGTATTTTAGACATGCAACAGCACCAAGCACTGGTATTTGGAACAGTGGTATATTTCAGAACACTGTTTTAGACAGAGAGTTGATTTTTCAGTGTTTGGATTTTTGGTGCAAGCTCACCTCTGCCCAGGTTGAGCATCACCTGCTGAATGAACTGGAAGGTGTTTTTCATGCATTTAGGGTAATCTAAGTGCAAGGCATAAATCAGTCCAAAAAGATCACAGAAGGCCTGTGGTAGGTTGGCCAGCTCCTCCATGACCACAACCCCCTCCAACACGATGCCTACTCTGGATGGGTTGAGCTGAGGATTTTCGTCAATGCAGATGATTCCCACTCGCATCTGACTGTACAAGTCCTTGTCACTTGCGTCCTGACAGAAAGAAACAGACGAGGAGAATAAATATAACTTCTCAAACTAACAAAACACAACAAAGTTAGCCATTAGAAATGAGTAAACACGGCTTCCTCCGCCTCCTACGTCACATCCGCCTTCTTCTTCGCTTGGCAAAGTAGCGGCGAATCTCTACTGTGCAGCGGAAGATGTCAGCCTCCGTGTAGGGGGACCCGAGGTATATGTACACATAAATGCAAAATCTGAAGTAATAAACACGTAACGACTCGTTTCATAGGGTGACTATATAGCACTAACAACATAGTTATATGTATTATTTTACATTTCTGTTAATAAATCAACATAAATATTACACACTGGACCTTTAATCACTAAAACAATGCACCTGCATCATTTACAACAAATGTAGTTACTTACAGGGAAGGTTTGAAGAATTCAGAGGGATCATCCCCGAAGATGACTGGCAGTCCCCGAAGACAAAGGCACCTTATGTCTGTTGGCTGCGTGGTCTGCAAGATAGTGGACATAACTAAATCACATATAGTTATTAAATACATTCATTGACTTCCCCACAGATTTTAATTACTTTTAGGGCTGTCAAAGTAACATGTTAAATTAATTATAAAATAATGCAGATTAATCAGGCTGCATCCATGAGGAGAATCAGGAAACTTCAGCTCACTCTCCAGCACAGTAGGAGAAAAACAAAAAAACTAAAAGAATATCAGTTGAAAATATTTATATTTTATATTTAACTGCTGTAAACTGCAATTTCCATTAGCTTCCGAGCTAACGAGTCTCTAGCAAGTGGAAATATCCATATTACTGGTTAAAACAACGTTTTTACTGCTCACAAACAGCCACTGCAGATAAATCTATGGACTATGGAGAGAAAATGTCTTTAACTGGTTAAAATGTTGTTTTCTCTCCTCTGGAGCTAAAATGTGACGAACGTTAGCATATAATCTTAGCTGATTAAAACAGTTTTCACCCTCAAACAGCCAACTAACACACAGTGGCAACTCTAAAATCAAATATTAAAACACAGTGTGGTCGCTCACTCACCAGATTCAGATAACCGGGGTGCAACAGGTGAACACAATGCGGGAGACAACAGAAATGCTGCATTCAAGTCAAAAATTAATTTGAACTTCAAATTAATATAACCTATACATTTTGCTTAGATATAACGTGCAATAGAATATTAACGTTAATTGCTGTCCATGTAGAATGACCATAGCACAAACCCTGATAATAAGTCAGTATTTTTGTGGTTTCAGGGAATGTAGGTTACTCATGAAGCAACAAGTCTGGGACAAAATAAATCTTTAAACCGTCTCAGCACGTTTGATAACGTGAATCTCCACTGGTATGCTATCAGTGTCTTTGTAACACTCTGAAAAATATTAAAATACAACACATCTGTTTTGTAGCATCCATGTTGTTCCCACATTATTTCCCACAAAGTCGGAAAAATTACTTCCCAACTCAGGAGTGCCGAAACTTCCAATACAAATGAATGCAGCACTAATTATCAAGAGTCAAATTCTGTTGTGACGGGAAATAAAGAGGCGTGGTCATGACCAAAACTTATGAATTCCAGCCCATTAAACTTAAAATTATTCACACATTATATTGCTATCAAATGTAAGTATATTCTACTTCTAATTAGTAGAATATACTTACATTTGATAGTAATGCAATCAAACTTAAATGTATTGATTACATTGTACTTGATTGTTTGATTAGATAGGAAATCCGTGCTAACAGTGTATGTGCGTGACTTTAGGCTAACAAGCTGTTTAGTGTCACAGTGAACATGTTTCAATCTTTCTAAGATAAATGAAGGTACATTTTCTGCAGATTCCTCCCTCAGTCTTGGTCAGGTTGTATTTGGGTCTGCAAATCTTTTTTCATTGTGCTTATGTCTGACATCAATAAAGTCCTTTCTGTCATCTGACTTAGGCCACACTTCATATGTTCATATGCCACAGGGGTTACAAAATGTACAAGTAATCTTCTTGAATAATCATTTGTATTTGGTGTAAATAGAAGTGGAGTGGATGATTTTGGTTTGAGCTCTGAGCTCTTAGCTGATAGCTGTTACAGGAGATCTTTATGACCTTTTTATTGAAGGATTCATGCTGTTAATGTTTGACTTCAGTTCAAAGTTTGGAGCTGGTCTGTCATCATATTTCCTTAAAGAACACTTCAGTTGAAGATCAATACCAAGAGTTGAGACTGAATCTACAGACATTCAAACCTTCTATGGTGAGTTTTAAGTTGAAGCTGCTCATTCATTTCTCCTTTAGTTGTCGACTTAATGCAGATTATTTTTACCATCAAATGCAACTTAACCAATGTTTTTACAATGTTTGTTGTTAAATGTGTCGATGCAGCGTTGTGTTACTGCATTGTATTTTGATGGACACTCTGTGGATTTTATTTAGAGACAGTATTGTATGTCAATGTGAATGTTACCTCTGTCCTGCCACTGTCTTATACATGCTAGCAATGCTTGTTACTAGGGTTTTTTTAAGCGAATGAGCTTCATGAAATGCACTGCGACACAGGGAGGTGGTTGGGGTGGATCCAGAGCCCAGGATTTGCACCCTCCCGTTCTGTTTACGGTTTGGTTTAGATGCAAAATACCCCTTTGTTAAGGTTAGGGAGAGACTGTGGTTTTGGGATATTTGCAAAATTTGGCATTTTGAAATTTTATTGATAAGCTCAGTATAGAAACAGTTTTGACTGGTTGCATATTTAGACAACAGTGTTGGAAAAGTTACATGGTATCACTAAGTTAAACTCTTGCCTTTACAGTCAGTGTGATCTGTTTTTAAGAAGAATGCACTCAAAAGTTTTTAAAAAGGGTTAAAGCATGATGGCTTTAATATTTGATATTTTGGTTTCAACACAATTTGTTTTTGGAAAATGTTTGTTTTCATAACATTATAAGTTAGGTAGCAGTTTGAAGAGTCACTCATTGGACCGCCTTGAAGGATGGTTATGGACACTCACTGTCCACAGTCCAGCAAAAAACATTTTGAAGTTGTTAACAACAAAACTACCGAGTATGTTACATTAAAGGTTCAAAGCAACAATCTCTCTTCAAAAATAACCTTTCGTTTATTATTTTAAAACTTATAATTGAAAAGTTTGAAATCACCAGCAGTGCTACATAAAAAATATATGAATGTCATATCATATAAACTACAGTCTATCAATATCAACAACAAATAAACAGTAATGAGTGTTTTTCTCTATTACTAGCTCTGCATTTTGTATTGAGTCAGAAAGATTTTACTCAGTCTCTCAATTATTTTTTTTTTATTGTAGTTGATGTTGTTCATGTGCAATATCAAGGTTCAAGGTTTATGTTAACAGACTTCAGTGCTAACATCCTTATCATCGACTGTGATTAAAACACCAAGATACATAGACATAACTAAATGAACAACTCTATCAGAACCATAAAAACAGAAAGATGAAATATTTTCATAAAATTTATAAAAGCACAATAGAAATGCTAATATTACAATTTGTGCATCCACTGTATTATCACTGGACAAAAAGGTATATCCGGAAAGATCCAGTGGTATGGTGTAAGTAGGTATAAGTTTATGGAAATGTATCCAGATCTGTATATCATATTATATCATAGCATATAAAACTAAAATCGGTCAGATTTGTCTGTAATCTTCTGCATTAAACAGTATCTGTCCGAAAGTATCTGTCTGTATACAATCGTATCACCACCTTGGATACTAATGTATTTTTGTGCATTTATTCCATTTTATTCCAAGTACAGGTATTATTTTACTGATCAGTAAAGTCATTTCCAGTCCAATCTCTAAATCACGACTATCAGCTGCAAGCTGCAGTGCATTAAAGGACAACCAAAGGCAGCGATTTATCATTTTACTATCATCAACAACTGTTGGATTTAATATTTGATAATAATAAAGCCTCCAATGTAATGAATGAGCATGTTGTTGTGTCTGTGTGAAGGTGTGGGCTCTGCTATGAATCAGTGTGAGGACAGAGAGGAGGGAGTCCCTCCCTCTAAAAGCACTCTGTGTGGGGAACATGACACAAGGACCAAAGCTCAGAGGTGAGATGAGGATCTCTAACTGTCCATGACTCTTCTCCATGTCAGAGCTCAGCACTCAGATCACTGCACCATCATTATTCACACTCAAAGCACAGACCAGACTCTGCTGTATCCAGCTGTGTGTCCATGCACAGAGACAGGTCTAAGGGTCGGTCTGTTGACTACAAACATGAACAGCAGTCTGATGATCCAAAGTAGGAATTTAAAGCTGAGGGTACAGGATTTGTCTTACAGAATCTATTCCACATCACTTTCAGCAGTATTTTATCCACAATATTTATGACCATACAACAACACAGGTCAAACTACTGTGGAAACTGTGTGTCATCTTCAAAATATCATTTTATTAAATTAAAAGAAAAGCATTTTCTGTTATTTGTACAAGACACTAGTCATAATTTATAATATGTTAATGAGCATGCAAGCGTTGCCCCCTTAGCCTGGTTGATTACAGTGAGGGGTGTGTCCATAAACCCTTAAGTGATATCTCTATGTATAAACAGAAAGGTAGTAAACTTGAGCAAGTTTTCAGTTTGACTACAGGATTTATTCTAAAGCCTTTGCCTCTAAGGGCTTTTAAGTACTATGCGGCATCTCTGACCTGTTTGAATATCACACTACGTAACACAGAGTACAATGAAATTGGCATTCTCATTACCATTTCAGACACAATCAGCAAAAAGAAATTAAACGTATTACCTTTTTTACACATTAATTACACATAATGAACTGTCCAAATTACTTTTCAACTTTTACTTTTTCTGTGACAGTTTTCTAGCCCTTTACATAAGTGTTTTAAAAAGTGTATGTCCTGTGTTTGTAGGAGGCTCAAACACCAGAAACAAGACTCTCCTGTATCCAGCTGTGTGTCCATGCAGAGTGACTGGTCTAAGGGTCGACCTGTTGACTTCAAACATGGAGGGCAGTCTGATGATCAAATGTGAGAGCTCAGTATATATTGTGCAGAAAGACTTTATTTGAATATATGTATTCATTAACATGTTTATTCAGTCGGGATACTGCAGCATTGTGTCATCAAAGAGCACAAACCTTTCATATGATGTTAAAAGAAAAGCATTTATATGAATAAACCATTATTCCACCAGCCCCCTGATATAACAACAATAATAATTCTATTTATATAGCACATTTATAACGCACCACACTTTGTAGATATTTCTAATTTCTAGATGGAAAAAGACAGGTCGTTGTCAATGTTGTCTGAGTCAAGAGTAATGACTAGACTTTTAAACGAAATGAAACTGTCTGGTATTCACCATTGATGAGATTGAAAATGTTGTATTTCCATATTGTCATATGTTTGGAGAAGGATTCATCAGCACACACCAGACTCTACTATATCCAGCTGTGTGTCAATGAAGAGTGACCGGTCTAAGGGTCGACCTGTTGACTTCAAACATAGACAGAAGTCTCCTCATCCAGTGTAAGCATTGCAAGAGTATTTTTTTGACAAAAAGAAAGTTTTGTTTCAAAATATCTTACATTAGGGAATATAGGCATCCATGCAGTATTTACTTGAAAGATGCATTAATCAATTTTGTGTTTTAACAGGATCCCTCAGCAGAGACCAGATCCCTCTGACACCAGCTGTGTGTCCATGAAGAGTGACCGGTCAAAGGGTCGACCTGTTGACTTCAAACATGGACAGATGTCTTCTCTTCCAGGGTGAGCATTTGGAGCAGTAAAAAGCCTTTCTCTGACAAAAATTATATTTTGTTTTAAATTACATTAGGGAATATGTAAGCAGCCAGGTTGAATTTACTTGATAGGTGCAATTATCAGTGCTGTGTTTAAACAGGATCCCTCAGCAGAGACCAGATCCCTCTGAAACTGACAGTGTGTCCATGAAGAGTGACCACTCAAAGGGTCGACCTGTTGACTTCAAACACGGACAGATGTCCGTTGAACAACAGTAAGAATGAACACAGAACCATTTATCATTATTCAACTCTTTTGAGAAGACTATCATGTTTTAGTCCAGAGTTTTTATTCTTGATTTAGTTTCCTCTTCTAAAATATTTGACATTTATTGTGTTAATTTCTTGTTTCGACCATGAATTATAATAAAACAACTATTGCTGGGCAACGATTAAAATTTTTAATCATGATTAATTGCATGATTTTCTGCGGTTAATTCATAGTGAATTCAAAAGTAGTGTATTGTGCAGTTTTATTTTAAAAGTAATGCTATATGAACAAAAGTGCAATAACATTTGGTTTGCACTTATACAGAACTTTAAACAAATGAGTTGCTTTTTAACAACCTGGTCTTGCTGAGGCCTCCCTCCACTCCGATAACAAGCCCTAAAAACAACACAAGAGGATGTGGTTTTATTTTAATTTAATTAATGTTACCCACAACATTGTTTTTCACAGACATCAGAAGCAGAGCTCAGTGGCCTCTAGTGGTCAGTCTGCCCAACAACATCAAGCAGACCTGGACTCAATATTCAAGGTGTGTAAACATATTAATAGCGCTGCTATTGCTGACTTCAACAATGACATTTTAGTCCTACTGGTGTTGCACCTACAGCTTTGCCATGTGGTTGAAAAAATGACACGTGGAGTTCCCCAAGGTTTCATTCTCAGGCCCCTTCTGCTCAACATCTACAAGCTCCCACTATCCCAGATTATGGAAGAAAACGAAATATCGCAACATTATTATGCAGATGACACACAGATTTATATCACAGTATCAGCAGGGGAGTTCCATATAATAATTACATTAAAGACCACATACCAGGCCACATATTTTGGTGTAGTCATGGACTCAAGACCTAAATTTAGGGACATTTATATGACTACAATAATAATATTAATAACTCCAGAAATTTTAAGATCGGCTTCAACTATAAGATTGTTTAAATCAAAGATTAGAGCTTTTCTGTTGGTCATTGCCATTGTTAAGTTAAATTTGGGACTAATTATTCCCACTTAAGTTTATTTGTATCTTACATTTTATTTCATTATTTAAAATCCTATTTAAATGTGTCTTGTTACATTGCCTTCTGCTTTATGTCACTGAAACTGTCTTGTTTTTGAAAACAAATACACTTTCAGAATAAGTTTTTCAGATGAATGTGATTCTGTTCTGATAATTTAAATTTGAACATTATTCTTTTGCAGCTGCTTGAGGAAAACATTGTCAGTTTTGTGAAGAACGAGCTAAAGAAGTTCCAGAGGGTTCTGAGTCCAGATTACCCACAACGCTCTGAGAGTCAGAGGGAGGATGAGGAGGTGTTGGATGGTGAGGATGAAGAGCAGAGGAGGAACAGCAGAGAGTCATTTCTGAAGATCACACTGCACTTCCTGAGGAGAATGAACCAGAAGGAGCTTGCTGACTGTCTGCACAGCAGTAAGAGGATTTTAACAGATTGCTGTAAATATGTTGAAAACGTGTTTGGGTATCATTTGTTTGTAATTGATTACCAAACCTTTGGTTCAATGCATTTAACTGGCCGACATTCAATGCTGAATTGGATTGCAACCAAATTTGGGAATAATGATGTTATTGTTATATAGGTAATGCTGTAGATGCAGGTCAATGATCTCTACTGTCTAATTGATTCACGTAACATAATAGATGAGCAGGGCTTATAGACACGAGGCTGTAGATACAGGACATTGGTCAGTGCTGTAGATACAAGTCAGTTGGTTTTCTAGAACAGTAACGCTATAATAATAGTAATACTATTCATATTACCTATTTCATAGGATTTAGTGAAGTACAAAAATGTTTGCTTCTTTTGGAACAAATTTCATCACCAAAATTGGTGCATGGCATATTTAGATGAAGCCTAACAAGACCTAAAGGTTTCTGTTCTGTTCTGTAACACACTTGTCTGTAATCTGTTAATTTTTTTTTTTAAGGCGTGGCCCAAAGAGCTTAATGGTGACCCTTCAATACTGAATTGGATTGCAACCAAATTTTAGAATGTTGTACATTAAGTCTTTCTTCTTATGTTTATTTATCAATATTTTTTTTAAAAGTACTGTATTCTTGTATATTTTTGTGTGATTTATATATATATTGTCATTGTATATTTTAAGCACTATTGCACCAATACAAATTCCTCATATGTGTAAAAACCTACCTGGCAATAAATCTCATTCTAATTCAGATTCTGATAATGCACACGTCATTGATCAATTAGAAATTCATATAATTCTACTGACAATAGCTCCACCTTTTGAACACAGAACTCAATTACAACCGATTTTGGATGATATCTTTAGATGTGAATCACAAACCCTTGCTAGGTCCTTTAAAAGCTGTGCCTGTGAGCAGCAGTAGTGGTGGCAACACCAGATGCAGCAATCATGCATTCTTTCCTGAAATGCAAATATTTTATTTAACATATTACATTTTAATTATGTAATAAAATGTGTGATAGAGGAGTCCGGCTAATGGACAGTACCCTAATTTTTTGGTGTTGAATTCATTTTCACTTTCTTCCTTGTTCCAATGCCATCATATGGGTCATATGGCCAAAAACATTTCGTCTTCTGTAAGTAAAGTGACTTATTGTCAATGAATACGCCTCTGTCACCATTAGGCAAAATGAAAAGGATCACATCACTGTTTTAAGCAGAAACTCTACATGTAAGTTTATCTTCTGTTTAATGTTTCCATAAATCAGGTTTACCGACAGCTATATTTTGTTTATTCAGGAACTGGTGCTGAAGCTTTGTCCTGCCAGCATAACCTTAAGTCATATCTGAAGAAGAAGTTCCAGCGTGTGTTTGAGGGGATTGCTAAATCAGGAAATCAAACCCTTCTAAATCAGATCTACACAGAGCTCTACATCACAGAGGGAGCGACTGCAGAGGTCAATGACGAGCATGAGGTTAGACAGATTGAAACAGCATCCAGGAAACCAGATAGACCAGAAACAACAATCAGACAAGAAGACATCTTTAAAGCCTCACCTGGAAGAGATGAACCAATCAGAACAGTGATCACAAAGGGAGTGGCTGGCATTGGGAAAACAGTCTTAACACAGAAGTTCACTCTGGACTGGGCTGAAGACAAAGCCAACCAGGACATACAGTTCACATTTCCATTCACTTTCAGAGAGCTGAATGTGCTGAAAGAGAAAAGGTTCAGCTTGGTGGAACTTGTTCATCACTTCTTTAGTGAAACCAAAGAAGCAGGAATCTGCAGGTTTGAAGAGTTCCAGGTTGTGTTCATCTTTGACGGTCTGGATGAGTGTCGACTTCCTCTGAACTTTGACAGCCATAAGGCACTGACTGATGTTACAGAGGCCACCTCAGTGGATGTGCTGCTGACAAACCTCATCAGGGGGAAACTGCTTCCCTCTGCTCGCCTCTGGATAACCACACGACCTGCAGCAGCCAATCAGATCCCTCCTGATTGTGTTGACATGGTGACAGAGGTCAGAGGGTTCACTGACCCACAGAAGGAGGAGTACTTTAGGAAGCGGTTCAGAGATGAGGAGCAGGCCAGCAAAATCATCTCCCACATTAAGAAATCACGAAGCCTCCACATCATGTGCCACATCCCTGTCTTCTGCTGGATCACTGCTACAGTTCTGGAGGATGTGTTGAAGACCAGTGGTGGAGGAGAGCTGCCCAAGACTCTGACTGAGATGTACATCCACTTCTTGGTGGTTCAGTCTAAAGTGAAGAATCTCAAGTATAACAAAAGAGCTGGGGCAGATCCACACTGGAGTCCAGAGAGCAGGAACATGATTGAGTCTCTGGGGAAACTGGCTTTTGAGCAGCTGCAGAAAGGCAACCTGATCTTCTATGAATCAGATCTGACAGAGTGTGGCATCGATATCAGCGCAGCCTCAGTGTACTCAGGAGTGTTCACACAGATCTTTAAAGAGGAGAGGGGACTGTACCAGGACATGGTTTTCTGCTTTGTCCATCTGAGTGTTCAAGAGTTTCTGGCTGCTCTTCATGTCCATCTGACATTCATCAACTCTGGAGTCAATCTGATGGCAGGACAACAAACAACATCCCAGTTGTCTAAAGTCTTCAGAGACAAACCTAAAGTAAAGCACCTCTACCAGGGTGCTGTGGACAAGGCCTTACAGAGTCCAAATGGTCACCTGGACTTGTTCCTGCGCTTCCTTCTGGGTGTTTCACTGAAGACTAATCAGACTCTCCTACAAGGTCTGCTGAAACCAACAGGAAGTACCTTAGAGACCACTCAGAAAACAGCCAAGTACATCAAGAAGAAGATGAGCGAGAATCTCTCTCCAGAGAGAAGCATCAATCTGTTCCACTGTCTGAATGAACTGAATGATCATTCTCTAGTGGAGGAGATCCAACTGTACCTGAGGTCAGGAAGTCTCTCCGCAGATAAACTGTCTCCTGCTCAGTGGTCAGCTCTGGTCTTCATCTTACTGTCATCAGAAAAAGATCTAGACGTGTTTGACCTAAAGAAATACTCTGCTTCAGAGGAGGCTCTTCTGAGGCTGCTGCCAGTGGTCAAAGCCTCCAACAAAGCTCTGTAAGTGGATGGATCACTAGATATGAATATTTGAAACAGCATATTTTTTGCTGTTGAACTTTTTCACCTCTTATTCCTCTTTAGGTTGAGAGGTTGTGATCTAACTGGAAGAAGCTGCAAAGCTCTGTCCTCAGTACTCTGTTCCGAATCCTCCATTCTGAGAGAGCTTGACCTGAGTGACAACGACCTCCTGGATTCAGGGTTGAATCTGCTATCTTCTGGACTGGAGAGTCCACATAGTACACTGGAAACTATCAGGTCATGATTACGCTATCTGTATCTGTAAAGAACTTTAAATTAACTTCTATTTTAAAACACATAAAAAAAGGGAAATTACTTTGCTCAATCTATGGTGGAAATCTATGGTTTTACAAATGAATATTTTTTTGCCTTAAATGTTACACACACAGATGTAAGTCACATTAAGTATTGATTCATATACTTACATCTCTTTAAAGACTTAGTGTGTGCAGACTGTCATGGCGAAGCTGTGAAGCTCTGTCCTCAGTTCTCAGCTCCTCTCGTCTGAGAGAGCTGGACTTGAGTAACAACGACCTGCAGGATTCAGGAGTGAAGCTGCTGTCTGGCGGACTAGCGAGTCCACATTGTACACTGCAGATTCTCAGGTAAGAAATCAGCAGTTTGTGAAAGAGATTTGCATTTAAATTCTTTTCGTTCTGGTGATGATCATGTCAGTAAAGATTCCTTCCTACATGATAATCTAAAATGCTGCCATACCAGCCTTTTCTTAATTCCAGACTAGGAATGTCATGAATACCAATACTGGGGTACCTAGTCGATGTAAAAATGTGACAAAGTGTGTTTTCTCAGTACCTATAATGGCTCATTCACATTGGCCACCTAAGCAGCGGGTGGCAGCTACACCGCTGGCCGAGTGTGTCAGCGGTGTAGCTAGTGTAGTAGTCAAGCTGCCATGTTACCACATACACTTTTCCTTGTATAATGTAACATAATAATGAAAATTTGAATACCATATATGTACGTAAATGTGAACAGTAGTAACCAGAAAGCAGACGTGTGGTTCGTTTACCCGAAAGAGAGAGAGAGATAGCAAGAGAGCGTGCAATGGAAACTTTGGGTGGTGAAATAAAAAGCAAGACATTCCTTCACGCACATGTGATGCAGACACAGTAGTGTGAACCACCCGTAACACGCTGAAGATGGCAACAAGGGCAGCTGCAGCGAAAGCTCTGCCTCGAGTCATCAAAAAGAAAAATGCTGAAACTCTTTTCACTGTGATCACATGTTGGAAATAAACTGTTTGGTTTAGGCAAGGGGTTGCACTTCCAGAGGGTGCAGGAAGAGGAGGACTAATCTGTTATGATTTTTACGTTGATATAAATACTGTCACGACCTGGCTCTGAAGCCGTGACAAAAACGTGGAGACGCAGTTGAAAGGACAAATTATAAGTAATTTATTTAAACATAACAACCTAAATGCAACCCGAAAAAGAACTAAATAGAAGATGAGGTGTGTTTGTCAGTAACATCAGTAGTGAAAGTGTGTGTATGCATGAGTGTGAGGCATAATGAAAAGTAAATGTTGGATGCTAAAACACAACTACTCGGAATACCAGCAATGATAATAAGATAGAAAGAGAGCCCCCGTCAGCCAGAGAGGCGGGGCTTTTATAGCTGGGAAACACCGGGACCAGGTGCTTCCGGCTATGCCGATTGGTCCAACCCACAAGTACCTGCTGCCTTAAAAGGAAGAGGAAACATTAGAGCCATGCAGGGGACCGTCACAATACAAAGTGAGCCTTAAATTATCCACAGAACTATAACTATGATAGAAACAGAGACTGAAGAGATGCTTTATGGTGTGCTTTTTTAAACTGAACTATGAGCAAGATGCACAGACTGTGTTGAAATCACAAAAATCTGCAAGTCCATTCACGTCACAGATAAAATGAGACTCATGTAGGCTGATATTGATTGGTGGAAAATCTCAGAGTGGTGAACTAAAGTAAACTGTGGTACCGTGGTATTGGGTAAAGAGAATTGTGGATTTCAGTGGTATTGGTATCAATTATTACATTTCTGGTATTGTGACGTCCCCATTTAAGGCTGTCAGGCTGTCTGATCACAGAGAAAGGCTGTGCTCTTCTGGCTTCAGCTCTGAGCTCTAACCCCTCCCATGTGAAAGAGCTGGACCTGAGCTACAATCATCCTGGAGACTCAGGAGTGAAGCTCCTGTCTGCTGGACTGAGACTGGACACTTTGAGGTATGATCTAAAACAGATCACAGATTGTGATCAACCATTGTAATTCATGTCTCCTCATCTTTTGTCCTCCATTGACCTCAAAGTCAATTAAGTTATCTTAAAATTGCTCAAAGGAGTGAAAGGGTCTCACCCGTAATCTCTGAAGGCAGTTGATTATGGTTTGTCTCGACAGAACACTACTGATAAAAAACAGAGCCAATATAGGTGTAATGCGTCATCATTTGAAATATTTTACTGAGTTTAAGCGGCCCCTGTGTTGAGCAACATTCAATTTAACTGTTTGTTCATTCCTCGAATTTGATTCAATTGATTTCAACATACCCTGCACACACTTCTCTCGTGCTATTTCCTATTGGCTTACTGTTCACTTCATCTTGAGAGGGAGTATCTGGGGCAGGAGTCTATCTATTAGGATGTGTTTGAAATAATGTCCTGACCACAGCATACTGTTTTCTACACATGGGTCTTCTTCGACTTCTACTTCTATGATCCTTCTTCTCTTGATCTCTTAATGTTGTCTTTCAACATTCATTGCTGCTGCTTTAACATTTGCCAGAGGTCAGATCATCAACGAAGCAGATGCTTTTGCCAGTCCACCTGCTTCAGTGGACTCACCCTCACCTTTTCTTAAAGTGGAAATATTAGGTTAACACATTCCTTCTTGCAAACGCATTTAATCCATTTTCCATCGCCAAATCCCCAAAACAACAGTTACGTCTGGGCGTAGGTTCATAACAATGCAAAACTCTATTCAGCTGATTTTCTAAACCAGATAATCCTTGTCTGTTTTTGGAAACTGAACAAACACCACTATCACTTTTTTTTTTGTCCTTTTAGCACTGGGACCAACTCTCCATTATCAATTATTATTAAACATCAACACAGTATAACATCACACAATTGCTGTTGTTCAAGACACAGAATAAATAACTTCCACCTTCACAAAAACAAATATTTGCGGACCTATCAATACAATATATGTCGGAGGCTGTGTTCGGTCCGCGCCGTGGCCACTGGGAGGTTGCTGAACCCAGATTTGTTGGTCGGTCACACCACTCTGGCTATGGTGCTTATTCCAGCCCTGCTACAGATGGGATTTATGGCTCTTTGAAGGGAGCCGAGTCGTTCCTTTCAAAGAGCCGTTTAAAAGACTGGCTCAACTGCGACTTGGTTCCCACTGTTCATGTTAAAGAGCCATTCAATAGATTTGGTTACGTCACAACTCTAAAACTCTATGCCCCACTCCCCAGCAGCTTGTAGTGCTAATGGCGTAAACAAACCGCTCCCGGTACTTTGAGCTTGTCGTCTGTGCGGTCCGCTAATAGGACAGCTAACTAGCTAGTGGCAGGAGCTAGTACAGTTAGCACAAGCTACAGTGCACCGTAAGAGACTTTCTGTTTTACAAGAGAAAAGGTCCATGGTCAATCAATGAAAATACAGTCACTGCCAGTGGTGAGCATTACATCACACTTATTTGTCACCTTGAAGACAGAAGTTAGGGAACTGAGGGAGCAGTTAAGACAAATTGAGACAACAGTTGGGACTCACATTGGATGGAAAATCTTTTAGAGAGAAGCTTATTAAATGTCCTCATTTACATAATCAAAGACAGTATGCTTGTCTGACTGTGTTTCTTCTCCAGGGTGGACCATGGTGGACGGCCAATGTTAAAACCTGGTCTAAGAAAGTGTAAGTTTTGACTGATAAATGGCTTTGCAAGATCACACAATCAATTTAACCTTTACATTAATCTATACAATAATATTCATAACTATGAATATGTCAATAAAGGCCAGTCAATAACAAGACTAATAACTATAACACTAACAATGTTAGGGTTAGGGTTAGCATCCACACTAATGAATGATAATGTTTTACACAGTGGCTCAAACACGCTCCAGCTGTATCTGCAGTTGAGTAGAAAAATGATGAGCTGTTACTGCTGAATGTTGCAGATAAACAAAAGGAAAATCAGAAGGATCTGGGTTCACAAAGTTAGAACATAGACGTATTTTTAGTTTTGATTCTTGGTGTCAACGTCCCTTTCGTCAAATGTTAGATGATAAATTGCTGCTGTGTTGTGTCTTTTTCTCTCCATTAGATTCCTGTGAACTCACAGTGGACCCAAACACAGTGAACAGAAAGCTCAGACTGTCTGACAGCAACAGGAAGGTGACACTGGTGGGAGAGAAAGAACAATCATATCCTGATCAACCAGAGAGATTTGACTGCTGCTGTCAGCTGCTGTGTAGAAATGGTCTGACTGGTCGCTGTTACTGGGAGGTCGAGTGGAGAGGAAGTGTTGATGTAGCAGTGACTTACAGAGGAATCAGCCGGAGAGGAACCAGTGATGACTGTGTGTTTGGAAGAAATGATCAGTCCTGGAGTCTGAGCTGCTCCGCTGGTGGTTACTCCATCGGTCACCATAATAGAGTAATATCCATCTCCTCCTCCTCCTCCTCTTCCTCCTCCGGTAGAGTAGCAGTGTATGTGGACTGTCCTGCTGGCACTCTGTCCTTCTACACAGTCTCCTCTGACACACTGATCCACCTCCACACCTTCAACACCACATTCACTGAACCTCTTTATCCTGGGTTTGGGTTTGGGTTTGGGGTGGAGTCTTTGATGTTGTCACTGGAGTCCTCAGTGTCTCTGTGTTCACTGTAGGAGTCTCATGCTGACTGGAGGAACTTTGTCTCCTACAAATTACATTTACATATTTACATATAACTATGGTGAAAACAACAACTCCCACGATCCTGAGCTACTTCACCATGTCATCAAACGTTGTTTTTTTTGTTTGTTTTTTTTATGTAGGAAACCCCCTAGTGGCAGAAATTACATATTGCAAATGTGATTCTGAATGAAAATGAGTAAATAAGTAAAATGTTGCTGGTGACATATTTAATTTGTTGGCTGCCAAAAGCTCTGTTGTGCTACAATATCCACTTGTACCAATGCGTATTAAACATTTTGGTGGTTATTTAGGCACTTTTAGCACTCGGTTATGGTTAGGGACAGATTGTGGTCAGATTTAATTTCAAAGTGACTTGACACGAGGTACAATGTGTTACTGTTAAACCAAGACAGCAATCTTCAATCAGAGTTTCTGTTGCCTAAACCTAAAAAACAGCCAGTTTTAGAGATGTGTTTCTAAACATGATGTGAATACACCTTTAACTTCTTCTGTCCTACTAAGTTCTGCTAACTCCACCCCTCCAAGAAAATTACATGAGGTGTGGTCATGTGGCTACAGACACAGGAGATAACACGGCCAGAGTGACAGACTGACTACCGCTCAGAGTAGCAGGAGTACAGCTGCCAGTGGACAGAGTTAACAAAGCTAACTGGCCACGAGCAGCTGCTGCCAGACTTAGCATTGAGGTCATTTTGGCAGTTTTGTTTGAGCAGCAGTTGAACACATTTAAACAGAGTTTGTCATAATGGCTGCTAATTAGACAGCATATAAAATATATATCATCATGTAAATAAGGGATAACAAAAAAGCAACACACAGACTATGTTATGCTTCATAATCACACATGTTGGAAATAATACTAATATAATTTGTGTTAAACAGAAACTCATCGTCTTTAAAATCTGCTTTCTTTCTTCTTGAATTGTCAATCATTCACACTCACTGTCAGAAACGCATTCATTAAAAACACGTAATGGGTGCCCGGTTAGCTCAGTGGGTATAGCAGTCGACTCATGTACTGAGGCTGAGTCCTTGCTTCAGCGGCCGAGGGTTCGAATCCGACCTGTGGCCCTTTGCTGCGTGTCATCCCCTCTCTATGCTCCCCTTTCCTGTCTGTCTTCATTTGTATCTATCAAATAAAGGCAAAAAAAAAAACATGTTGTATTGTAGACAATATTCATTCTGCTACCCATTATGAATAATAATTACAAACACTTTATGTAATGTATTTGTCTGTTTGAGACGTGTCAAGACATTAAACTGAAATATAAATGACCTTATCACTGTCATGTTTGTATATTTTGAGTCAGTGTGCTTTACATGAATTAGATGTTCGAATTCATATGGTCTTGTGACAAGGTGGGAAGAGCTGGCAGTAAGTAAGTTTTATAATGAATCATAAATGTAAACACAGATCTCTTTACCTTTCTTATGCTCAGTCTCAGTTCTGTGTTCAACATCAATCAATAAAAGAATAAAGACATCAATAATAAGAAATAAATAAGTCCTGAAATAAAAGTTACAAATAAATAAAAGATTAATAAAGAACAGTGTGTTGGGGAGTAGTGAAGTGATTCCAGTAGTACTTTTTCCACTTTGCTAGAAACTAGATTTCTCCCTCGAGTAGCTTTGCTGTAGTTCACCTTCTTCCAGTATGAAGTCATTGGTAGCTTGCAAAGCTTTTAAAGTAGCATCCCAAACACAAATGGAATTTTACTTTTTAGACTCAAACGCATCATCCTGTAATGCATTGTTACCCAACCTGGGGTCCTGACACCACTGGGGTTGTTTGGGTGATTATTTAAGATGTAAACAGGATAAAGGCATGATGAAGATATATTGATACAGCCTTCAGTCTCTGATCAACAGCCTCTTCCTGCAAAGGTTCAAACAACCAAAGAGCTGATAGATTAATGAGAAGAAAACACTGAATCTGTCAAAAAAAAAAAAAAAAAAAGAAACCTAATGACTATCTATGATTGTTTAAAAGGGTAAAATATAAAAATATCAGAAAAACTCATCTCTGATCAGCGCGGACTGAAGAACGCATTTCAAATTAGCTGGGCACATCAGCAATGCAGCGTCTTGAAGAAAGGCAGTGCCGAAGGTTTTATTGACATCACATTGTCATGACTCCTGCTGTGTGATTGTGTGGTTTTCTTTGCTACCCCTTAGTGTGGGTGAGGTGTGCTTGTTGGGTGTGTCTGTCTGCTTGATCCCTTCCCCCGTTTGCCCTCTCTCTCCACTCACCTGCTGCTCACCCACAATCAAGCACAACTGCCTTCAATGAAGACTGCACCTCACTACTATAAGAGTGTCTTCTTCTAGTTCTATATTACTAGTGCTTTTGAACATCCGCCCAACTCTACGTCTGATTGGCTTACCATGAAATTTTACTTAACCTCAGCCAATCGTCAGCATTTATGCGCTTGTCTCGTGCACTGCCCACTAACCAAGGAAGAACAGTAAAAAAGTCTTTGCCTCTCGGCTCAGAGATCTAGTTGGTCTGATGAAAAGAACAGCTTCAATTATAGTAACGCGCCGCATTTTTTGGCAGTAACGGCAACAGCGCTATTAAGATGGGAAGAGTAATCAATTAGATTACTCGTTACTGAAAAAAGTAACACCGTTCCCATCACTGGTCATAAATGAGTTGAATTTCACCAAGACCAAGGAGTTGTTTGTGGACTGGGGAGGAATACATCCATAATTCACGGGAAGCAAATTGAAGCTGCTTACCAGTACAACTACCTCAGCGCTGATTCTGAACCCAAGACAGGGTGATCATCAAGAAGTAACAAGAGCATCAGTACTTCTGGACTAACCAGAGGAAGGCAACCTTCATATGAGGCTGTTGGCCTACTAAACCTGGCTTCCAGCCCCCACCTGGCAATAACCTCCACACCCAAAGTCCTGTTCTTTTTTTACTATTCCAGCCTCAGGAATTGCCCCACATTTTTTTATTTAATTTGATTCTGTTTTAACAAACTCCTCCAACAGATCAACTTCAGATGATGTCAGGTCAATCTATAGACCTATGCAATAAAAAGTTCTACAAAGTGGTGTCAAATTTCAATGTTTTGCCATAGAAGAGGAAGTTGTTATTTGCCATAGAAGTTGTAACTTGAGTGTAACTGTAAATCTGGCCCAAACCTCACGTCCAGGCCTGACACAAGACTACAAGCAAATAAGGACTCATACCACCTCATTATTCAGATTCATCTTCCGCAAAACCATTTTGGTCACTTTAACAGTGTTTGTGTATACAGTAGGTCTGCACCATCTGATCAACTGTGTCCACCCTGTCTGCATTCTCCAGTCGACCTTTTGGGATTGCTGGGAAGCCTTCCAGGACCTCTGACTGCTGCAGATACCACTTGAACTTTTTAAACTCCTCAGCTACCAAATCTTCTAAAGATCCCAAAAGGATCTCTTTCAGTATTGCCATATTTTCTAGCTGCAAAGATCCCAAAAGATGCCAAAAGAAAATGTTCACCCTATATAACAAATTCTCCAAATGTAATCTGTGAGTTCAGATGCCCTTTGAGAACTTTATGACGATCAGATTAAATTAACTTGTAAATCCAGACAAGAAAGTCCATCTTTTCATTCTCCACTTGGTCAAAAGAACTGATTTATCAGTTTATCAGGATCAACAATCAGCCAGATTGCCAGCACGTTCAACCTCCCTGGAGCCGACTGTACAACACCTGTATAGGTGGGAGGAGTTACTTCCGGAGAAGTTACAGAGCTGGTCTATTGCTAACAGGATTGTTACTCTGATCTGGTTTGAGCTGAGCTCCTACATACTGTATATTTGAAAGCTAAAGCTGCAGTAGGCAACTTTTATAAAAATAACATTTTGTCATATTTACTGAAACTTTCCTAACACATTCTCTTTACGTCGTCTATCACCAATTTCAGTCAGATCAAGGTCATATTGTTCAGCAATCTTCAGAAGCTGATCCAAAATCCCAAAAACCCTCACTTGGAGCAGCAACAATCTCTACTATCCCAGCCATACTAACTAAACCTGGACCCCAAATGAAGAAACACAAGAACCAACAGAAATCATTGAATAAGTCAACTAGTGAACCAACGAGACACTAATGGTGTCCCCAAAACTAATGTGGAAGTTCCCCTCTACCTAAACTTCCAAACCAAAACTAAGCTACCTCACTGAACCCCAGTCTTCATGAAGATTAGCAGTGGGCTATTTAGACACTTAAAGCAATAGCCCAGTGAGACAACCAGCAAGCTGGTTAGTCACCTGATGGCTATGGATGTGTGCCCGAGACAAATGCTCTGACCGCACACCACAACAGAAAATAACAAACTAAAAAAACAAATCAACAAGCCCAAATGGACCATGTTGCTAATACCTAACAGGGAAACTCCACAGAAGCCAAAACATACCACACTAGAGGACCAAGCAATCTCTTCTGTTAGCTCCTAACTGCCTACTCATGGCAACACCTGCTAACTGCAGGACCAAACTCCCCCCGACTGAAACCCCGGTCATCCCTATGTTCCCCGGGTCCTATGTTCCCTGGGTCCTATGTTCTCCGCTAAGGTTAGGGTTAGGGTTAGGGTTCTCCGGTCCCATACAAAGCGGGGGAACATAGAACCCAGGGAACATAGGTACGCTCCCACATACGCCTCAGCCAAAACCAATGCACTTGCAAACAAATAACCCTACATCAAGCAGGGTACCAAATAATGACCACAAACAAATCAAATTTTAGCGCCCACTTGTCACAATGTGAACAGGTCCCTGCTCCACACCGAGCTTCAGGCTTATAATGCGTGATGCAATGGTGCTCGTATCGATGAGTGGCAAACATAGGGAACATATAAAAGTGGGGAACATGTGACCTATATAGGGGTCAAAGGGGTAATGGAGCCCTTGGGCCAGAGTTTCTGTTTGAAGTGACTTTGAGTGTTAACATTTCTTGTTGGACATCAATTAAATGACTAAAAATACTACAAGTGAAGCAACCATGTTTATTCAGCATTCTTTGTGCTGCCTATTGACAGTATATAATGCAGAAGTGTGTTAACCCTTCATTCTCTCAGCCAGCAGGGGGCAGCTCCACTCTGATAGTATTGATTCTTATGGGGAAGTTGATTTGATGATGACAGGGCATGTCTACCTTCTGATTGACATCTCATTCTCAGTGAGTCCGTCCAGCTCTAGTTGACGAGTTGAAAACCATGAGCAGCCAATGAGAGCAGCTCAACCTGCAGTACGTCACCGCTGCTTGTTGCAAAAAAGCCCAACTGGAGGCTTCAGATCTGGACTCCACGGACTGATAAGTGCTTCAGAACACAGCCTGTATATAAAGACTGTACTCATGCAGTCTTTATATAATGTCTATATTAAGATCTCCTGCCTGTTCAGTTCACAATGTCTTCGGTTTATGTCTGAAGTTGAAGATTATAAACTGTGAGTGACATGGAGATGTGTTTGTTGTGTGACTGCAATGACGCTGTGTGTTAACAGAACAGAACCCCCCCCCCCCACTCTGTTTAAATAAACAGCGTGTGGTCTGCGAGTGAGCAGTCGGTGAACTTTGTCCTGTAGGACAGAGTCTGTCTGTTCGGATTCTTCAGGCTTCAGCAGGACAAGCAGCTGCTTCAACGTTTCTGCCCAGTAGAAACTCAACATGGCCGAGAGGAGAGAGGTAGTGAAGGCAGCAGTAGAGCCCGACTTCCTGCAGTTCAATGATCTGGCCTGCGAGGCGGTCGGTGGGAAGGTGAGTCACTGCGAAGATTTCACGCTGTCATTAGGACGTACAAATATATTCATTAACTCAACACATGCACACATACAATGTCCAACGAGCAGCACATTAAGATAGGTAATCCAGGGACACATACAAATACTTAATTTGGCCTCACAATAGACCTTTTTTTACAGCATGAACATGACATGACATGAAATAGTAAAATCTGCAATGTTCTGAAAATATTTCCATACTATCATCATACTTAACAAATACAAGTTCTGAAACCTGCTCTCTTTTATTGATTTTATTGTATATGAAGAGACAGTATGAAGGTCCAGTGTGTAACATCCCTGTAATATAATATTTATAGATATGTTTTCATTAGTTTTTGATCACCTGAAAATAAAAAACATTGTGACGTCTTTATCTACAGAGGGAGCGGGTCCTCTTCTGGCAGAGTCCGTCATGTTTCTACAGTAGCCCAGAACAGATCTAGATAGGGACTTTCATGTTTTCCAAGAGTTTCACAACCACCGTAGTTTCTCCTAAATGCGTGGAAGACCGAATCCTACACAC